ACCACCATCGTGTGCATCCACAATGGCCATGTTTCAGAGGCGAAGACAGGCAAAAACAAAGGTATTCGATACTCGATCACCTTCACTGCGGCGGGTATGGGCATGGGTATGGCTGCTCCATTGTTGAGAATATGGTATGGCAGGTATGCCAGTGGCCACACCAGCTGCCATCAAAATGTAATAAGATCTTATCACTTCGCCATTGAAAGACTCTCGTTCCGGTAGCTTTGTCTCACTCTCTTTTCTCAGCATTCTCCAGGGATGGCCGTTTTCCTAGTTTAATATTTTAAATGGAGCATTGCTCTATTTCATCAGTCTGCACAAACGCCCGAACGCGCTGCTTTTGGAACAAGCATTGAGCGTTTCTCGGAGTACGCATTGGGCGGGTGCCGTGAGGTCTTGGAGGGTGGGAAGGCATCCACAATACTGTGTCTGGTTGGTTGGGGACAGGTGGCTCATACTGCATTTGAGCCCTCCCCCCCCCCCCCCCCATCCCTCCCCTCAAGCTCAGAATAGTAATATGGTAGGTCAAGTGCAAACAAATGCTAAGCTAATTTTATAAATCCCAAACAAAGTAGTCGAAGTCGGAGAGCAAATGTCAGTTTGAGCACAGGATAGGCCATATACCCGGACGCGTAATGTCCCAATGTCAGTAAAGTTCCTCGCACCTCTGATCACGGCCATTTAGGAGAGCGCGAAACGTCAATTTGCCGTGCTAGGACGGCTGGCAGCGTCAAACTTCGAAACATTAGCCATCTCGCGACTCAACGACCATCTAAATTAGACACCCTTGTCCTACAGCATCCCTGACCGACCGTGTCTGGGCATGGTGGACACTCCCATCACACCGATGGCAAAGCATGACGGCAGTCATCTGACCACACCATGCACGCCCGCAGCATACCAACCACCCTATCGCGGTGTGTCACCCAACACCGTACGTGGGTCACCCAGCACCGTGTCACCAAACAGCACACAGATCGGCGGCCTCGGCGGCGCCACTGACCGTCGCAGATGGTGAGCTGGATCCGGCCGTCTGGCCCGACACTGGCGTAGGGCAGGAAGAGGCGGCCGGCGGCGGACACGACCACCACGCCGCCGCCGCGACGGCAGCGGCGCAGGCCCGGGCCCGGCCGCTCGCGCCACGGCTCCGGCTCCGGCTCCGGCTCCTCGCCGCGGATGTACCGCAGCAGTGGGTACACGCAGCTCATGACCGTCGGCGCTGGTGGTACGCTGCGACACGTGCTCACCGGTCCGGCTACTGGGTCTGTTCGGCAGGGCGCCCTGAGGCTCGTTCGGGCACGGTACGACCACCTGCTGATGGCCCAACGTCAGGGTGAGCAGGTACACGACCACACGTCCACTAGCGCAGCACCGTCACACAAGGACCGCCGGGCTCGGTGATCAGAGCTCTGAGGAGCTGATCTCGCGGAGAGCGCAGGTCACACACGGCACCACTGGAGTCCCCTGTACGCGCCAACCTCGCCGTTCGAGCGGTTCAGTCCGGCCGCTGATCACTCGTCGCGTGCGTCACAACGGCGTCACAAGTCGCCGCCCTCGTCACACTCGTCACGTGCCGACCACACCTTGTCGGCGCGGCTCGGGACAACCCGGCCACGCCCGTCTCACGACCGCCTCGACGGCGGCAGGGCGGCTGGCGAGGAGCACCGCACCCGGTCGCCGCTCAGGTCTCGGGGAGCGGCGGCTCTCTCCGCACCGGCGCCACGTGAGGCTCGTCGGGCCGGTCAGTGGACGGCCGGGTCGGCGGTGCGCGGTGCGTGCATCCCGAGGACCGAGCTGCGGCGGCGCCACCGGCCGCGCTCCGCCCCGGCTTCGATCCGCATCGATCCCCGAGGGGCCGACCGCCGCCGCCGCCGCCGCCGCCGCGCCGCCGCCGCCGCCAGATCAGCTGATCGGCTGGTGCCGGCGCTCAGCTGTCTGGGCAGGTCGGCGGTTATCGGGGACGGCGCCGGGGTTGCGTGCGCGCACGCGAAGACGCGCGGTTAGGAGCTCCGGTGGGCGGGCTGACTCCGAGTGGATTTAGACGGGACATTACCTGCAATCTGCCGGCCCAAAGCCATCTGCAAATGGGCTATTGTGTGTGTCTGACCTGCGCTCCGGTGCCTGACCCCGACTGTCGCTGCCCATACGTAGCTGGACCTGTGCTGTTTCGCTTGGGCCTCCCGGCTTGCCCAGGATCCAGACCGGGTTATTGACCGACCGCAGGGCTCGGCCCCTGTCTCGGCACGGCCTGATGTCGATAACAATATCAAACCCTTCCGATCTCGAGTATTGCCAGCGACATCTGTCCTCATTCCTTCATTAGAGTCATCTGAAGGGCGTGAGGCTAATTCGATGAAACGGTTGTGTTGGAAACACCGCCAGGCTTTATCAAGGCCTCCCATGATTATAACTCATCCACTATCCTGGCCGCTGAGCTGACCTCATAGGTGCCCTTTTTGAGCACATCGATGCAGACCGCCGGCAGGCTGCGAGTAGTCGCGTGACCCGGCGCTCGTCGCGGGTCTCACTCTCTTTCTCAGGGCTCACTACAGGCCCGCGGGTTCTTTTTTCGTTTGGACGCCTCAGCTATACGAAACCCTTCAGAAGGCCAGTGATACGAGCTCTATTGATCGACGTCACGATCTGAAGAGTCCGGTCAGTTTAAGGTCCGCAATTGATTTCTACCCGAAGCTTACGAAACACCGCTGTCGTCGAAAGCCTTTGGAAGTTTTCCGGCGTCCCGTTGTTTCGGCAGGTCCTTGATACCCTGAGTGATTCTGCGACCTGCCACAAAGCTCAAAAATGCCTGTGCAAAGCCTTGGCCCGACAGCTTATTTCCGGAAGACTCCATCTTCGTCTTCGGATCTTCCCGACCCCGATAGCCATTGAAGTGTCGACCGTTTCAAGGCCTTTCGCGACCTGATAGACTGGTAATGATTGGGTTCACAAATGGTCCATGTGAGTGACCAAGCTCGTTCTCGACCTGCTCGTTCAACCAATCTGCCGTCTCACCAAAGTCATTGGGCATTGCCAATAGCAGCGTCGCGTCGTGAGGCGGATGTAGGCCAGGAGTGAATTCGCTTTCGAGCTTATCTGATTACTTGCGAAATGAATAACGCATAAGCCCATACAGGGGCGCAGCCAGGTTTTCTTGAAGAGGACGTGTGGATGTCCCAGAGAGAATTCATCACGCTGGCTTTTAACTTTCCATCAGGCGCAATCCGTGGTGCTTAAAAAAAATGCGGGCGTAAGGGAAATGCACTGGCCTCAGGGGCACCCTCCAGGTGCACCCATGAGGCCATGTAAGAAACAAACTTTACAGGAAAGCTGATGGGCGACAAAAGCTTATGGCAAAGGACAAAAGTACACAGCTTATAGAGAGCTATGTAGAAACCGTACAATTACGTCCGCAGACGGAAGCACGTCCGAAACATTTTGTCTGACAGACAAGATTCACAGCTGTGTTCGGCACACCACCGGGGCAGGGTGTCACGCCCACCCGTTGGGTGCCGCGCCGGGTCGCCAGTCGTACCTGTGGCCCGCGCCGGGTCGCCAGTCGTGTCTGTGGCCCGCGCCGGGTCGCCAGTTGTGCCTGTGACCCGCGCCGGGTCGCCAGTCGTGTCTGTGACCCGCGCCGGGTCGCCGGTCGTGCCTGTGACCCGCACCGGGTCGCCAGTCGTGCCTGTGACCCGCGTCGGGTCGCCAGTCATGCCTGTGACCTGCGTCGGGTCGCCAGTCATGCCTGTGACCCGTGGCGGGTCGCTAGCCTTGCCTGTGACCCGCGCCACTGCCCAATCGGCGCCCATCTGGGCTGGAGACCGTTAACCGCCGTCCAGGAAGCGACTGGGTCATCGGGACGGAGCGGCGGCCGGCCGCCGTCTGTCCCCAGCACCCCTGGCTAGTCAGAACTGGGACTGAATAGAAGCAGTGGCATGGTGTTAGGTCCCGCTGCAGGATCCAATGACATGGGCGAGGCCCCACCATCAGTATCCTTAGTAACATGGGATGAGGTCCCACTGTTGATGTCCGAGTGGCACAGGGTGAGGTTCCACCGCCCGTGACCTTAGAGGCATCGAATGAGGTCCATCCGCCGGTGTCCGAGTGACATAGGATGAGGTCCCACCGCCCGTGACCTTAGAGACATCGAATGAGGTCCATCCGCCGGTGTCCGAGTGACATAGGGTGAGGTCCCACCGCCCGTGACCTTCGAGACATCGAATGAGGTCCCACTGCCGGTGTCCTTAGTAAAATGGGATGAGGTCGCACCGTCAGTGTCAGTGTGAACTGGATGAGGTCGCACCGCCGTTGCTCGAGTGTCATGGGGTGGGGTCCCACCGCCAATGTTCGAGTGACATTGATTGTGGTCCCACCACCAGTGCCCAGGTGACACAGTGTGCGCCCCCAGCAAAGCTTTCCGATTGACATGGGGTGCAAAGTCACCGCCAGTGTCCGGGTGACATAGGGTGGAGTGTCACCTCCAGTGTCCGTGTGGCTTGGGGTGAGGTGTCAACCGCCAGTGCCGGGGTGACATAGACTGGGGTCCCACCACCGGTGTTCTAGCGACATGGGGTGAGGCCCCGCCGCCGACTTCCGAATGTCATGGGGTGGGGCCTCACAGTTGTGTGTGTCCGGGTGACATGGGGTGAAGGCACACCACCACCAGTGCCCGTGGCGCTGAGACGGGGTGACATGGGGTGAAGGCACACCACCACCAGTGCCCGTGGCGCTGAGACAGGGTGACATGGGGTGAAGGCACACCACCACCAGTGCCCGTGGCGCTGAGACAGGGTGACATGGGGTGAAAGCACACCACCACCAGTGCCCGTGGCGCTGAGACAGGCTGCAGGAAAGCACAAGCTGAGCCTGACCGTAATGAAACATGGGACTATTCATAATAGTTCGCATTCCCGATACCCCGCGACAATCACTGCGGCTCCATTTTTCTCCGTGGATGAACAGTCTATCCAAACAAAGTCAACTGATTATAGGAGCGCTTATTCCATTTCTTCGGATGCAAATTAACCATTGCTGGCCACGCTAAGCTGTCATCACCAAGGAAATCCATAAGCATCATTCGAGGTTGTTTTTCAGATCACACACGAACAGCTGTTGTACCTATACAATTGGCTTTTAGAGAAGCAGTAAACTCGCGCGTGCATTCCAGTAAACGTTGCAGACTGCAGGATTGGAGGATGTCAACATGGAAAAGCTCGCGACAAATTAACTATCTCTGGTCATGAACACGGCCCTAAGGGCGACACAAAGTTATACATTAAGTCAGCAAACAACCGCGCTCTTGCAACGCGATAGCATACATAACTACAAATAACCCGTTTAACAAGTCCCAATATCATCAAGCTGCCCCCATAAATCCGTTTGCATTTCCTTGCTTTGCTGCAAAACACCTACGGATAGCTTGTTTACTTTGCACAGTATCATGTGTTTTGCAAAGCGCATGATACCCTGTATCAGACGCATAGACGGCGGTGTGCTGAGTAAGCCCCTCCCGTCTCGCTGCGGCGGCGGTGATCTGGTCCCGGCTGTGCGATCAGTCCCGGACCCGTTCTGCAGCACGGCTGGCTCTATGCTTGGCCGTTTTGTCTCGTTTAAGAGACTGCCATGATGATCCCTGCATAGGCGAGAACCTCTGATGATGAAAATTGTTTGCATGTTGGATGGAGAGAAGCAACGGTAATTAAGCTTAAGTAATGTATTCTTGTAGTTAGTTCAGACAACTGAATGATTAAAATATTGGTGCCAGCTCATTAATCTCGTATGTTTATATATATATATATATATATATATATATATATATATATATATATATATATATATATATATTATATTGCTCGCGACGCGTTTCACAAAACAACAGCTGCATCATCAGGCAAAAGAAAACACACACCTTCAGTGTAAGCCATAATCGTTTAAAACACGCAAAGACATTTTGCAAATACCACACATGCACATGCAGTGGCACATGACCAAACCCCAACTCCACAGACATATTTTGTTTTATCACAATTTCTAATGACTGTCGATGCCATTTTACTTATCCCTTGACAGTTCTGAAAAATGTGTAACGACTCTTAGGTTCTCAAATCAAGTGAGGTTCTTAGGTTCGACTCTTAGGTTCTCAATCAATCAAGTGTCCTGCCCAATATACCACAATTGGAAGACAAAACGGGATTGTTAAATGTAAATGAGTGCTCTCGTGTGGGAGAGGGGTCAGATTTTGGAAGAAAAACTTTTCCTTTCCGAACAGATTTACCCAAAAGCTACTGAATGCGACTGTCCAGGTTCCGAAGGGTGGAACCTATGAAGGATGCCCCACACGAGACACAACAAAACTCGTATACAACAGTCGATTGGCAGAACCTAGGTAATCTATTTTTATGTTTGAAGAGAGCCTACTGAGAATGAATTCACCAAAGCGATCCCAATTTTTCTGTGAAATGCGTTGCGGGCAGCGCAAGTTGCGTAAGTTAATCAGTATATGTTGATATGGGTCACTTTTTAGTGAGAAAGATGTATATATATATATATATATATATATATATATATATGTGTGTGTGTGTGTGTATGTGTGTGTGTGTGTGTGTGTGTGTGTGTGTGTGTGTGTGTGTGTGTGTGTGTGTGTGTGTGTGTGTGTGTGTGTGTGTGTGTGTGTGTGTGTGTGTGTGTGTGTGTGTGTGTGTGTGTGTGTGTGTGTGTGTGTGTGTGTGTGTGTGTGTGTGTGTGTGTGTGTGTGTGTGTGTATATACATATTCATACCAGTCTACCCTTGTGTATTGAGACAACTCTGGAAATGCTGAGCACTTACCCCAAATCATGAGCAGCACTATCAGAGCCGATACGACCAGCAGAGAGCCGTAAAGGAACCACCGCTTTTCCTTCGACACTTGATAGAAGCCGAACTCGTACGTGGCGCCATCCAGTTTTGACGAGTCACTAAACGGGTGGTGTGAATTAGGCTCAGCAGACATGGTGAGGGTCTACGTACCCCTGGCTGGTAAAGTGAAAACGTGGGAATCGCATGCTACAATGAGGTTACGGACAATGACAGCAAACATGACACCTACTAAGAACAGCATGTGCGCAACAGCTACCCCAAGTGAAACGACAGAGAGGGGTCATAGAACATACCTATCGTAAGTTCAGCACTTGAATGATTTATCATCATGAGGAATCGAAAGCAATGATACCAAACAACCACAACACAGAAGGTAACCACAAATTTAAAAGAAAGTGAGGGTGTCAATGTCTACGGGCGTCAAGCTAGTAAAAGTGGAAATGGCTTGATACCACGAACGCAGAACATATAAAAAGAGACCATGCTCGATTCGATTGCAAAGTAAGAACTTACGTAGTGAAACTTCCCTCTGCAATAAGCTGCACCTTCAAAGGCGTATCTTCTTCTGCAGATGGCGCGCTTTCATCAACCACGAAGCCTGGGGTCGAGTTCGTCTTATGGTCTGCGTCCCCATTTTTCTTAGGGGATGAGCTTTCCGACGAAATAACTTTGTCAGACTGCACAACACTAGAGAACGTTTCAGAAGTGTCAGCAGTTGGTGAAACCGGGGGAAGCTTCCCCAAGGGTGGTAGAGTGGCCTTTGAAGTGCTCATTGCTCTTGAGTAGGGTTTGATAGGTACTTCGATCGCTCACAGTCTCGACATGGCGCAATTATCTAAATTTAGTTAAAAAAGCCTCGCATGCATGAGCTGAGAACCTGTGCTTGCCAATAACCAGCTGTGAAATCAAATACACCAGTCAGTACAAATTCATACAGAGCTTTCTTCAGAGCTGCGGCGGTTAGGTCCTAGCTATCCGCACTCATTGGAGATGCTGATTGTTTCCTGCATAGTTTACTTGCTGTTCAGTCTAATAAAGATGTGCAAGATGCTTTTTGCGCAGTTCGACGTTAGCCTTGTATTGCCAGTTGGCTCCAGCCGCCTGTACCTTGGGTGCACTAAACCTTCATTTCTCAGCCGGCACTAATGACAAGGTAACCATTAGTATGGGTACTCAGAATTCAAGTGCAAAACAGCCATTTGGTCAAGGATTATCGACGACAATGCGAGAGCATACCTGCAGCATATGGCCCAAGCATGGCCCAAGGCTATAAATATGGCCTTTGTGGCAGCTGTTTTTTTTTTTACAGAACCACGTGCAGTTACACTAAGACAACCCGAAATAACCCACTGTATGCTCTAGACACATACGCCTGTAACATGGTCCAACGGGAATTTGTCTGGACAATTCACCATAAAACTGAACTAAGATTGAAAAACTCACAGTTATGCAATATAAAGAAAACACCAAGCCACATAAAAGCCTGAAAATATTCAGAATCTGTACGGACTTCACCAACGAAAAACTGTCGCAATTATTAAGCTCACAAGCGGCCATATCATAACACACTTAAACGGTACTGCACTAACAGCTGCTTGAAACACAAGCGGCTGGGCCGAAAGGTCTCGATGGCCTGTACCGAGTGTAATGCTAGAAATACGCATTCCGCGAAAATCAGTACCGATGTTTCACATCTTGCACCCAATACACGGCAACGAAACACAGAGGGTAAGCTCAGATGCTTCGATGACCAGTACGGATTGCAAGCCAAGAAAGCAATTTGCCACAGAACATTGAGGCTCAAAGCAGCGAGTGGCGAACTATTTTTAAACTATCTCACAAAAAACTTAAACGACTTTTCGGGACGGTGTTTGTGTATTTAACCTTAAACGAAGATTACGGATGTGCAGCAATTCCATCTTGAGGTTTGCGTTGTATTTTGCTGCCATTAAAATCTGTACTTTAAGAGATGGCATGCGTTTACTTTGGTGTGCATTTCCTTCCGGCATATTAGCGCGCGTGTGACAACCTTTACCTGCAGCTGGGCTTACTGAGGACTCGAGAGCTGATCAGACCACCACAAACTTGAGAATAAGTCTACTTGTCCACGCTTTTCAGTGCCGGGCAAACTGTTATATCGTACGGCAGCACTCACCTGTTTGAACAGCTCCCCATCTTTACACGGGAGCTTTGCATCTATTTGCCTTACCTATTCGTTACTTCTTTGCAGACCTGACTTGGGAATGCATCGAGAGCGAGCGACACAAGCGGCAGATAGCGCTCGGTGCTCTGAGCATTGCCTCGGAAGGCATATGGACAATTAGCTGGACTGTGTCCGCACGACTGGCGATCAGCAACAGTTGTATTGAATATGTGCATCCATAACGCTATAGTCAGTGCAGGTCTTCAGGCCCTTTCGGCTCAGCCGTCTGTGTTTCGAGCAGTCCTTAGTACAGTGCTGCATATCCGGCGTTGGGATGTGTGAGCTCAATTAATTATGACAGTATCTTTTTATTGGTAGTGTATGCTCAGATTCGAAACATTTCCAGTCTTTCTCGGCCTTGGATTTTATCTTATTTCTTGCCCGACCTTGCTTTTTCGTGGCCAGGGTCACTGTTTTAAGCCGTCGATTACTCGCATAATTTGTTACAGTGAGCGCTTTATATATTGTTTATCCTGTATCTCCTGGTATGATAAAGGCCTAAAATTCTCAGCGCAAAGTCATTGGCAGCTTAAATATGCATGAATGTGTCCAAACGAGCGTTTCATCGATAGTCGAAGTCGATAGCCAGGCGAAATACAAAAGCATAGTTTTATATACTTGCATGCACTGTGTGACGCCTTTTACCAGCATCCTCTCAACATCGAAAACGCTGCTGAACCGTTTTGAGGGATGGTAGCCAAGCCCAGCCTCCAATGCTAGCTCTGCCTCGTAACCTTTACCAATCGAGATAGGTCACACAATTTCATCAGCCGTACCCTGCTGATGAAAGGTCACCAGCGTCTGACAGCGCAGGCGACAGCCAGAGAATGCAGGGCGTGAATTTCGCAATGAATTCAACGGATCGTGGCCTGGATGACTGGAGCTAAAATGGTTTTAGCAAATTGAAGACATCCATAGTGTTAATGTCACGAGGGCAGTGAATATGGTCACGCATAGTCCATTTGTTGTATCGGCTCCCGACAGATGCTTGGCCGTGTTTGAACCCAATCATCTAAAACCAAAGATCACAGTACCAATCGGTCCTTTGGTGGAAACGCATGAGTTCCTGTCATTCAGCCCCAAAGCTGGGCAAAGACGGATAAGAAACCGATTTGCACGCTTCGTACTCTATCCATGCTCTTGGCGGACGTGTAGTGTGGGGCCGATGACTGGGAGTGTGATAGTGCGTTTAGATCCTTAAATGAACGCAGTCGATCTTGGAAGCTTTTTCTCGTCGTCTGTGCCTATCAGCATATGTGGAATTTACCCATTTAATTGCCGGCATCCAACGTTAGCCGCGTGCTGATCGCTGCCGCGTTTTTTTCAGCTGTCCGCCACGTTCAAATAATTTACTTAATCGTCCACGATTGAACGCTGTACAGCATTTTTGCGGTCGGTTATCTAGACCGTTGTGTCCCTGATTTCCCTTGGCGTCAAAAAACAGCGTTTTACGAATGCACTGTATTTGTCACTCGCAGAGTTGATACGACTCGAGAATGTTGATGCTGATTGTTTTCTACATAATAATGACTATCGCGTTCAGTTCTTGAACAACATTGGAAATATTGCTTTGCACGTTTATTGTGCGCAATATTTAAGTGTCTACGTAACATTATCTAATTCGAACGGAAACATTTTCAGATTTCAACTTTCTTCGGATGAAATAAATACAGCAATCAAACAACAATGACATAACAACCACGCACGCGGCCACAGCAGACATTTTTCAGCACGGGAGTTGATGCCCTCGATGACACTCAACTCAACTTCGTCCGTTTAGTGCCTCTTGTTGTTCGATGTCGTTAGCAGCTGGCCACCAGTTCGCCCAGGGAGCCACTAGCGTCCGTTACTCCCGGAGCTATCGCAGTCATGTGGTCAGCATTCCCTCTACAGCGTCTCCAGCTTGTCGACGGTGTACTTGATGCCGCGGCAGAACGAGGACGTCATGGACTTGCCGCTGAGGTCGCAGAAGTCCTCCACCAGGCTGCGCAGGTGCCGCGCGTTCTCCATCAGGGGCGAGGAGCTGACGCGGCACGGGAACACCTCGAAGCAGCTCTTGGCACCGAGGCCGCGCGCCGTCACGACGCCGTACTTCTTCAGCTTGGGCGACTTCCTCCTGAGAAGACGGACAAGGTCATGTCACATCAGCAGGTGGTCCCTCTGAACAGCTTGAGCCGTGAACAAGCAGCGAATAGTGCTAGTTAAGCGTGACATTTAAAACGAGCGTGCCGTGGTTTAGCTATTTTTCTTCTTCAGAGCCTGTCACCGACAAACTACAGAGACTGTGTAAGCATGTATCTCGCATGGCCAAATATCTGTGTATGACTAGAATGGTTGGGACTCACTTGACGAACTCGTAGACCAGGTCTCCCATGCTGTAGCTGTCGAGTTTGCTCTGCAGCTCGCATATGACTCGGCTGCGACAGACGTCCGTGTCGAGCTGGACGGCCCTCAGAGATACCTCAACCGGGTCAGACCTGCCGGCGGCACAGAGCGGCAGGTCAACAGGCTGCTCACTGACACCCCGGCCGCGCTGCTCACTGACACCCCAGTCGGCTGCTCACTGACACCCCAGCCGCGCTGCTCACTGACACCCGGCCGCGCTGCTTACTGACACCCCGGCCGCGCTGGTCACTAACACCCTGGCCGTGCTGGTCACCGACACCCCGGCCGCGCTGCTCACTGACACCCCGGCCGCGCTGGTCGCTAATACCTCGGCCGCGCTGCTTACTGACACCCCGGCCGCGCTGGTCACTGACACCCCGGCCGCGCTGGTCGCTAATACCTCGGCCGCGCTGCTTACTGACACCCCGGCCGCGCTGGTCAATGACACCCCGGCCGCGCTGGTCAGTGACACCCCGGCCGCGCTGGTCAATGACACCCCGGCCGCGCTGGTCAAGGACAACCCGGCCGCGCTGGTCACTACTGATCCATCGGGGCCTCCCTTCCACCAGACGCCCGTGGGCTGAGGCCGGAATGTATCTTGCGGCATTTGGTTGTAATGGTGTGATTAAACAACTTTATGGCATGATCGTCTTGCTTTGCTTAGGTCCGGTTTGTCAAGAGGGAAGGGAGTGAGAAGGACATCCATGGAAGCGAACGATTAAACAACCGATTACTTATTGTCCGAAGTTTCACCCGGATGATACAATGCAGCATTAACTAAGGGGACGTCAGTTTTCAAACAGGACATTTCAACGACCTGGCTGTCATTGGCTTTTGGCTGTCGGCAAACAGAGGGGAAGCGGAAGCTGGTGAAAGGTAAAATGATGCAAATGATGACGTAATTTTAGCTCATCTCCTAGTAAGGAACCAGGCCACTTAGAAAGCATGCCACTTAGAAGTTTACCGGTGACACGGAAACTCTATAGAAACTCTAATATCACGGAAACTCTGCGAGTACTTCAGCGAATACCGACTGGCGCACGCGTTGCACCGGGTCGCCTCGCAGCCGAACTGCGCTCCCCACCACCTTCTCGTCATTCCTCGTCGCCGCAACTGGCGGCGAGTCCGACGCGCCCGCCTCGAGAGCCGCGCACCTCGCGCGAGCCCGCTTACTCTTGGAGGGCGCGCGCCAGATTGTCCACCGTCAGCTGATTGGTGAGGGCGCGGGCCATGCTGGCGCCCGTGTTCCGGTACTCGCGCAGCAGCATTGTCAGCTGCTGGAAGCCGTCCACGATCGAGAGAAGCTGAGCTGAGGGGCACACGAGGGACGTCAGGACACAGCAGACCCGCCCGAGACCGGACAATCAGCCAGACCCGAAGCTGGAGGGCTAGTGGCAGCAGGTTGTAATGATGTTGTGACACAGCTGGCAAGAACATTTCACGTCTTTTGAACGGCTAAAGGACGTTGCGGTTCACGCACGATGGCTGTGGGTCTTCTGATAGTTCTGACACACATTCGTGACGAATAACGTATATATTTGTAGACTAAGTTTTGATATGTATTGCACCACATCCTTTGAATTCATTTTGAAACCTGACAACTGCGCAAATAAGATTGAGGATTAAAACAAAAAAACACCCGTTTTTTGGTGAAAGGTAAAGCGGTATTTTTTGCGCAAAACTGACTCTATCATGCATTTCAGTGTTGTGCCATTTCGAAATTAAACGTAAAAGCTAGCATTCAAGTATTTCACAAACCCAATCATTTGAGCAGCTTGATGCCGGGCTTATAAGACCACGCAGGGATTTGTTTGCAGAGCCACGCCCCCGATTGAGAAACATCTGCCTCCCACCACCAGAGAGTCCAAGTGGCCAATTACCTTCTCTCTCCAGCAGACCGATATCATTGGAGATGTCGGCCGGCGAGGCCAGCGCCCCCACAGCGCCCAGTACGCACAGCAGCACCGCGCTCTTCATACCACTGCTGTGCGGCACCACTTCTGTCTACCACCGAACACGCCCTGCAACTGACCTGCGTTCCGCACTGTCCGCCTTTTGTACGCGACCGGTGGCGGCCGGCGAAGGCGCCGGCACCGGCGCGACCGGACGCGTCCGGTGCCAGTTCCGGCCGGCCAGGTCACCGGCGCGCCGGACGGGCGGCCGCTCCAGCCAGTGCCGCCGCTGCCTGCTGTCAACCAGTGAAAGCCTTCGCCCTGACCGGCACCCGCAGTCAGCGGTGGCAGCGGCGGCGGCGTGCTCCTGCCGTGACGGAAGCACGCGGCGCAGCTGCGCGGCTCTGGGGGGGGGGAAGGGGGGGGGGGGCGCAAGGGGTGTGTCGTCTCTATCCGTCCTGCCGAGTGCTCGGACCCCTTTTTGTAGACGACTAAGGCATGGTTGTCTTTGGTACATGCCCTCAGCACATGTGCGGTGGTGTCGGAGAACCCAAGTTTAGCATCATTTTGATGTCAAGTTCTAGAGAGTGAAGTTTTCCATGTCGTTTAAGAGTAGGCGATCAGATTGCGCTTTCCTTGGCTCGACCGGCCGTGTTGGCCTGATGATGGCGGAGATCGGCAGCTGACCTTCGCCTAGATACAACATGCCGACAGACACCGGAAACACTGTCAGCTGGCTATACGCCAGCAACATGTCTTAAAGGGAATTTTCACATTTGGAGATATTAAAGCAAGTATCAGATATGATGCAACAGGCTCACTTGAACTATTGGTATACTTTTTAAGTGGAAAAGACTGATCTATACAGCACAACTTTCTGTTTAGTAAATATGTTCCTCAATGTGTCATCGCTTGATTACGTCATCGTACTTTGAACAACATTTATTGAGGGCCAATTGACGACCGCTATATCTGGAAATCGTACTCATGAACGCCAGATATGAGCGCCTCGACAACAATTTTTTGTTGTTGTTGCGTTGATCGCCGCACGCTTGTGGTATGACAAGATTTAAATGTCGTTATTATGACGTCATGAATGTGAAGGTGATTTTGAAAACCCTTCCCGATATATCTTTTCCCATTTTCGCGGGTGTGTAGCCCTGGAACAGAAGGGCTTGAGTCTTCAGAAAGGCAAGGTTTTGAACAGCACCAAAAGGTCTTTAAGAATATCAGTTCAAAACCTCATGTAGATGTGGAATAGTCCATTTAATAAAGTCATGCTCACCATTATCTTACATCCGTCATTTTCCACTCTCTCCTACCGCCATGGTCATTCTTTTCACAGGTTTGTTGCTTCTTGAGAAAAAGCACATCCAAAACATCATTTCGACATTCGCCGCGCCACATGAATTCCGGACGAGCGTTTCGTCTCACTGCGCCGCACGAACCGGACATAAGCGGCGTTGCATGGCGCACCGAACACTGATGCGCGACTTGTGCGACTCTGCGCAATCAGTGACGACAAAACGTGACGAAAGTGCACAACCAGGATACGCTGTTAGTGACCAAACCGGTGCAGAAACTGTCCAGAGGTGACGCTAGATGGCCACGTAGGAATCTTTGCGCGTCAGTTGGGGTTGACCTTGCTGACCTCCCGTGGCCGGGCCGTCGCGTGATGTCTGCGTACCGTTGCTCGGTTTTCTTCTTCGCTGCAGTCAGACATGGAGCGTGCCAAATTTCACAGAGAAAGTTCCGTCAGGTCTGGCTGGTTCTGCTCATACTTGGAAAGGCAACATTTCTGGAGAGTGAGAGTTGAACAGGATCTCACACGCTTGACTTTTGTACGTCAAAAGCGTTGCGAGTGATACGGTGTGCCCATCTGTAGCCAAATTTACGAAGGGGTGAATGAAACGTCTGTTTCGGGCACTAGTTTCGCTATTTCAGGTATTTCCTACGCATAAATGCACGCCTAATTTTGCACGACACCGTTGCCTATAACTTTCGAAACTTCCAGCGAAGTCGTACAATGAGATTTGAGGTTAGGTTCCGTTGCCTTTAATTACCAGCTTGTTCAAACCAGCGCTCACTTAGGCAACACTAGTCCTACCAAACAGGGTCCGCGGTGCGCCGGCGCCGCCGCTCCACTCCGCCCGGCGGAAGAATTCAATTGACCCCAGCCGCGGCGACGGAAAGGTCACGCGGAAGGGTCGCGGCGGGGTCAGCGCGCGGCGTCGCCGGCCGGCGGAGCGCCGCCCATTCCCCATCTGTGTCAGAGCGTGCCGCCTCATAACGGTGCGCCTGCGCTGGGAGACGGCGCCCGGCCGGACGACACTCCCCACCGGCCATGGCTGCGGAGAGGTGTCTGCTGGCTGCTGCGCTGCTGCTGGCCGTTGCGCTGGCCGGCGCCGGCCCCGTGGCCGCACCTCAGCCGACCGACACGGTCGGCAGCAGCGGCGCTGGCTCGGAGCAGGACAAAAACGGACGCCAGGCAGCAGCCGGAAGCGGCGCCGACGACGCCGGAACGGGTTCCAGTGACACACAAACTCAGCTCGGAACCGGTCAGGCCCAGACAGATCAAGCGGAGGCCAAGTTCTACGATCTGAACGGTGAGCTGGGGTGGCCAGCCACGACACGGCCCTCGTGCGTGTGGCGGTGTCGCAAGGCATGCGATATGGGACGCCTTGATCAGGGACAAATGACATCCCGATTTTTTTTGGCGAATTACGATATCATATTCTCCTTGATTCTCAACATAATCCCGGTAGGCATTACGCCCCATTACACGAAATGTCTCCGCCGGGCCTGACATATTGAGACCCATTACCAAATACCATTTGCTGGGCCCTATACAATGACGAAGCTCGTGCCGGAACCGGAAGCATCATTGGAATGCGCGCTTTTTCGGTCTCGATCGATCTACTAAGTGAACCTTCTTTGGCCATGGCGTGGGCGTTGACACCGAGGGATGGAGGGTTTGCGGGCATGTGTAACCTCCAATTGTAATGAGATGTCATTTGTCCCATCCAATTTTGCCCACAAAATGCATCTTTCCACAATTTGCATCGAAAATGCCATTTTAGGTCAGTTTGCTCCGTACATATGGCAGTTTGACCCTCCTGTACCAACCTTGATTTGTCTTCTAATCTCAAAGACGTTGTTATACTCAGCCATGTGGGCTGGCCAAGATGTGCTTGTTTCCTTTTTTGGAATGGCAGAATTTGGTGATTTACCACACGGGCTATTTGGCCCGACGCGTAAGCATTTAAAACGATTGGATTCCGTGAAGAATGAAAGCCTCAGTTTGACGTCTTTGTATCCAGTATTCGCCATAAAAATTGCAGCTGAAATGTTTCACCCTTCCTGTCTTTAAACGGCTGTGCTAGTGTTTAAATGCACCGCACCGTCCGGTGAGCGCGAATACCCAGCTGCATGGTGAATGTGAACTTATCGCGCACAAGTCGGTAATGATAATCATTCTGCGCTTCCAAAAGCACGAAGTGCAAGGGAATCTTTAACAACAGCAACCAAATTGGTAGATTGTGAACGAAAGATAATAATTGAGTTACGTCGGACTACGTTAATAAGCGGCAACGAAAACACGGGATTTGGAGCAACCGAGAAAACATTGAGCCTTAGAGCAGCCCTGGAGTGACCAAGGGGACAATTCCTGAGCTTTGCTGCAGCACGTCAAGCACGCACGCAGCTGCTTCCCTGCATCATTTCAGTTTAGTGCAGTGCAGCTCAAAGACAAGCAAAGCGGCATCATCGACGTAGATGTGCTGGTAGTGATCAGAGGCTTCATCCGGGTTTACGCCGTGTTCGAGCCCCTGACTACCGGCTTGGATCTGGCCTGGGTTCTATAGACGATCCGTGCGAACACCATGGAGCATAACGGTCCCGTTCAAGGCGAGCACGCACGTTGTCAAGCGTATTGCGGTCAGTCATGCATAAACAACGTGCGCTGCATGCACGGACGGCTCTCCGTGCATTGAGCATTCAATTGATGCGATTCCTCTGTTACTAAGTGGGCGATTCGTCGGAACTAATTGACATGCTTGAAAGCCCTTCAAAAGCTTAAAGATAAAGGCGTGTATACCTTGACAGTCTGCCCACAATGTCTTATTGTTAAATCAGGCTTATAGGTTTTATTAACGTGCCCAAATTTTTACGCATGAAATTGCGAAATTTGCCGCAACGAAAGCTCAGCAACCAGTCAACATCTCTTCGCAATTTTTGTCTGACGGTTCTTTCCCAACCCTTCCCTTGAATATGGTCCGGCGGCTAGAGCATTACGCCAGTGCAATGTCTTCAATCTAACGGTTGCAGCCTTACCTGAAACAAGCAACGTTTTTATACATGCGCACTTTACCGTGGAACCGAAGCATTTGAATGAATAGAGCCGAGGCCAGCCAATGGCCACCCGCCTGCTGCGGCGGAGACATAATGCGGTCCGGCGTGGATTTGGTGCGGATTCGGTTCGGTTCGGCTCGGCTCGGTTCGGCTCGGCTCAGTTCGGCTCGGTTCGGTTCGGCTCGGTTCGGTGCGGGGCGAGCCAGATCCGCGACCTTTGACCGGGCCGGGCAGTGTGTGTGCGCGGACTCGGGCTTCGGCGCGGGGCAGTGTGTGTAGCGGGCAGAGCATCGCTGCGGGACCTGGCCGATCTGCGATCTGTGAGGTCTGTGAGCGTGTGCTGGCGGAGGACGAAAACCTCGGTGCGAGGCTGTATGTGCCAGGCAAAGCCCGGTGTGGCGCCAGGCGATGGGTGAGGGGCCAGGCGGAGCAGTGGAGGGCGGGCGGCACCGGCGACCCGACCCAATTCCGTCGCCGCCTGGCACACATAGCGTGAACTGGTCCCGGGCGCCGGGCCGGCCGGCCAGCCCGACCGAGCCTGTCCGGTCAGCGGATCGCCGGCGCCGTGGAAAGTCTGACCGGCCCGACCAGTGCAGGTCCCGCTCCGCAGCGGCGCGCCGGCCTCGCGGCCCGCACCCACCCCCTCCCCACCGACCGGCTTCACGCACGAACGGCGGCACGGGCGGTGTGTGTTTGTTTGCAGACCGAGGTGTGTTTTCATTTGCTTTTCACTAGAATTCGCCACTATCGCATGCTGTATCTTGTAAGATATGAGTCATTTGTCGACAAATTATGTATACATATACGTATATATATATACATATATATGTATATATATATATATATATATATATATATATATATATATATATATATGTATGTATATATACACATATATGTATACATATATTCTCTCCCCTATCTGTCTCTTCCTCTCTCTCCCTCTCACTCTCTCTCTCTCTCTCTCTCTCTCTCTCTCTCTCTCTCTCTCTCTCTCTCTCTCTCTCTCTCTCTCTCTCTCTCTCTCTCTCTCTCTCTCTCTCTCTCTCTCTCTCTCTCTCTCTCTCTCCTCTCTCTCTCTCCTCTCTCTCTCTCTCTCTCTCTCTCTCTCTCTCTCTCTCTCTCTCTCTCTCTCCTCTCTCTCTCTCTCTCTCTCTCTCTCTCTCTCTCTCTCTCTCTCTCTCTCTCTCTCTCTCTCTCTCTCTCTCTTTATGTCTTTCTGTCTTCCTCGGACCAGCCCCACCCGGGCGCCGCACCCAGCGGAGGTGCCGGAGCATCCAGCTCTGGGGGTTTACAGTCCATGCGTGTCTGGCGCTGGGTGTCGGCGGGTGATCAGCCGAACTCCAGCTGTGGCGATCTGATTAAATCTGTCACTGTGTGCCTTACGTAACAAACCTCACTTTCACCGAGAGTTAACTGACTTGAAGGCAACTCAACATTGAACGCTGCATCAAAGCACGAGCCATCCAACATAACCAGTGATCGAACACAAAAGTTAAGTGAGAAAGTCGAATGGAGGAGTAAAAGGAAAATAGTCGAACGATAAAACGGCGGCAGGGATAAAGCTTGAAAGAGATAAAGTCTGATTCGGGAAAAGTAGGAAGCCCGTCACAAAGAAACAAAACTGACCCGTGTTAAAAGCCGAAGCGGATAAAATTCTAAGGGCAAAACGTCGAGACTGGCAAAGTCGACGGGGATTAAAGACAAATCAAATAAATTCGACGGGAATACGATTCAGTAAGGTTAACAGGCTGGAAAACGCTTCACCAGTGGAAGTCAAAACACCGGTGGGTACCATGAATCAGGCCCTGGTGTTTGTAACAGCGGTGGTGAGGACCAGGAAAACAGGGTCCGGCATTTGTGGAATGTCAATGGGAACCAGGAACTAGGTTCTGGAATTTGTGAAGGAACTAGTGGGAACCAGAAACCCACATTTGTATTTCCGAAAAAGACATCTCGTTTTTAGAAGGGAAAACTGTAATCCGAGCATCAACGCTGGGAACCAGACACGTGTTTGTCCAGCACCAGGACTAACGAAAATACTGCTTCCTCGACGAGAGCCAACGTTCGCGACCGTCCCAGAAAGTGTCTAAGGATAAAGGATAGCAGGGTACCCACAACAGATCGGCCGTCTGATGGCAGGGTACCCACAACAGATCGGCCGCCTGATAGCAGGGTACCCACAACAGATCGGCCGCCTGATAGCAGGGTACCCACAACAGATCGGCCGCCTGATAGCCTTAGGGCCCGTTCCATATGGTTCGGTAGTGGAGGCTCCAAGGCTGGCTTCCTGCTAGGAGCGTTTGATGGGTGGGGATGGGCGGACCGAAATTGGAGGACTTTTATTCGACTTTTTCCATTTGACTTTGTTCAATTCGACTTTTTTCCGGGAGTCCACATTACCTGGCACGCAGCTCGCACCTGATCGCACCTCCGCCTCTGTCCGACAGGGACGACCCGCGTCTTCTTCAACTACGGCGTGACGCTGACGGCCCTCATCTACGGCCTGATGGGCGTCAGCTACTTCTACGGCCCCTACTCCAAGGAGGCGCTAGCGGCGAGGCGGCGCGCCGAGCAGCGCATTCAGCACCTGAAGCTGAAGCTCGGCAAGGACGACGTCGGGGAGGTCGACTACGGCTACTTTACCGAGGAGGCGGCGGCCGGCGACGGCGGCTACGCGGGGGAGGACTACGGCTACGACCGGGTCGGAGAGGGCGCGCCGCCGCCGGCCTCGTGGACGGATGACGGCCGCTATCCAGCTGGTGATGGCCCGCAGCGGAGCTGGCGGCGTTAACCGGCGCGGTGAGCCGGCCGACGCCCCCCTCCGGCTGCGCGGGGGTCCTGGAGGCCCGGCCCGGCTCAGGTGAGACGACTGGGCCCAGCAGCGGTCGTGTCGCACCGAGGGACATATGTGGATGGGTGGATGGGATGGGATGTGGAAGGAAGCGGGGCCCAGCGCTAAGGGCTGCAATACCGGCAGGGTTTGAGCTTGATAACGTCAAGCTGGGGTCAAATCAGCGACAACGTTGCGAGTAGCGGTGCATACAATGCGACTGGTCGCACCGTCCTCCGCCAGATCGTGTACGTGCCGTGACGCCGCGGTGCGCGTCTGCTGAGATCTTAACCAGACCCTCAAATGTGTCCGCTCATTCTTCAAAACTGAGAATCCCCGATTTCCTCACCTGAATTGCACACTTCCGCTTGCGTTTGTATGACGCAATTTAAGAAGGAAGTGAATACCAATTCAGTGGCACAATTTCACCCCCAACAGCAGGAGGTGGCTAACTTTCACATTCGCAGCTGAAATCGTGACGTCACGTCTGCAGGTGATACGTGCATAGTGGTAGTGCAGGCTTGCTAACAAAATCCCACGTATGTTCTGTAATTTTGCAACATACAGTGTTTGCTTAAGTATAACACAACGTGATGCTAACTACATGAACGACAGATTATGTTTCGGCCATTCTATTACAAAGGCTGTTTAGAGAGCCGGTCCAAAATGAGCGAAAACTACTTTGCGTCCCAAAGCCAGGTTGGCCGGACTAGGTGATAAACGACTTTTGAAACGTTCTCATTTTCTTAGACCACGCAAAACAGGAAAGGGTGGAAGAGTTAATGCCTAAAGAACGACTCAGTGCATGCACACGTAACTATGGCCCGATTTAACCATTAATGAATCCTCTATTGATTTCCTCACAGCCCACGGGAGCTGCGTTACTAACACAACGCTGACGCGCGTCACTCTCGCGGTAGCTGTCACCATGACAACCGGCTGGGGCGGCGGCCGCGGCTGCGTGGGTGCGGGGTGCTGGCATGGTCAGCAGCGTAACCTGCCGCGCTGTCCGCAGCGGCAACGGCATCGCTCCGTCGGTGGTCAACGTGCTGGACATGCAGAGCGTCGAGTGCCGCACCTGGATCGACTGCCTGGAAAACAAGGCACAGCGCGCCCAGCAGCGGTCAGACACGTGAGAAAAGAGCGGCAGGCGGACTGGGCCTGCCCAAAATGTTTTTGGTGCTCCTAGACGAGCAGGATATTATGGTACAACATCATTATTCGACCTCGAGAAACTTCCGATTTTGAAAGGTTGCCACTTTCCGCTTTGTTTTTGGCCGTGACAGCATGAACTTAAACATGGCCAATGAAAGTACGGGTATCGTGCATTCGTCTTCCACAGGGCTCGTGCTTTGGCCAAACTTTGAATAATTTTTACAACGTATAGAGAAAACCCGTGACAAAAGTAGACAAGGTATGGAAGGAAAGCGCGAATCGGGAGGACACACTTGATGTGCCACCTGTTTAACTCAAAGATAACTTTCCGGTAGGTCTAATCTATTCAGGCGTATACCGTAGACGCGGGTGATACGGACATGTGCCCACACGGTGCACAGGCCGTCATGTTACATTATGCTCAGGCATTTATGTCATGTAATAGTCATGCACTGTAACAGTCATGCCATGTAAAAGTCACTCAGTGTAACAGTCATGCGATGTAACAGTCGCGATGTAACAGTCATGCAATGTACAGTCATGCGATGGAATAGTCATACAATGTGACAGTAACGCGATGGAATAGTCTTGCACTGAAACAGTCGTGCGATGTAGCGGTCCCCGCAACGTAACAGTCATGCGATGGAATAGTCATGCAATGCACCAGTCATGTCTATCGCCAGCGTTTCGTTGCGCGCCGAAGCCCGGCTGAGCGGACAGCTGATGTTGCAGGGAAGGGCCGGAGCCTGAGGACGCGTGTGACCAATTCTTCTTCACGTGTCCGACGGAGGCCAGGAGCCTGGGCGAGCTGGCGGACGGGCACGAGGCTTACACCGGCTGAGCGCGCCGCGCCGCCTGCCACAGCGCTGGTCACAGGCGCTGTCCGCCTGCCACAGCGCTGGTCACAGGCGCTGTCCACCTGCCAGTTGAAGTGACGCAAGGAGCTGAGGCTGTTGCATGCTAGCCATGGGATTCGTTTTCTTCAGCCGAGCTGCCAGCAAATGCTGAATGCATTGCATTCGATATGTGCTGTAGTGTGTTTGTGCTAGACAGCGAGCAGCGGGATATGCGTTGTAGTGTGTTTGTGCTAGACAGCGGGCTGCGGGATACGTGTTGTAGTGTGTTTGGGCTAGACAGGGGGCTGCCGTGGTCCAACAGCACATCGAGTTTAGTGAACGCTGTCTGCTTAATTCGGATGCGATTCACCGGGGCTGCCTATCACGATCACGAAAGTGGAAAATGCTTAAGTGGAGATATGGAACAGCATAAAGTTCCTTTGTTGATTTATGAGCATTACTTTTTTGTTTGGAAATTTCGTAGTATCGCGGCTGAGCGCATGAACCCGATGATGCGCCATTTTGTTCTGCATACATAGTGTTGCGTGTTTTGTCAATATGTTACGGGCATAGTTCGTTATGGATTAATTTATTCTTGTTTTTGGATTGTGGTGCCCTATCGCCGATGGAAATACATTACTGATAGATTCTGTGGTATTTATGATGCCACATTTTTTGGCGGCTTACGAACGACGAAATACAATTGTGGGGGCTCTTTTAGATTATGTGAGCTACGCCGTACAAGTCCGTAGCTCGGCTGTCGATTTGCTTTTTTGTGAGTGTCCTATCTCCCTCCATATTTTTGGCTGAAACATTTTAAAAAACGTGGGAAATAAATGTTCTAGGAATTATCATCTTTTGGGGTATTTACTCACAGTGATGTTGCCATGAATGGTGCGATGTGTTAACCCGAACATGCAACCTCAATCCAACGTCCTCAAATGAGGGGTAACTTAAGACATTGGCGTAAACCCTTTTATATTTCATGTTGATATTGACGCCTCTGAGTTTTTCGGTCTCGTGCAGGCTCCTTTATTCCAAGCGATATGTCGTCTTCTATCACGTGGCGGGCTAAGAATCAATATTGTTTTACTTGAAGTGGGGCCCAAATTGCTTTGGTGTAAGGTTTCATGAGAAAGCAAACCCGGGTAACAGAATGTTTTCGTTTTTTCTAGCCGCGACACATCAATAGCTTAGATTATGATTATAGGCTCAGGTCAGCTACAAAAAGAAAAACGATACAGAAAACGAAAATATTGCTGGAATCGATTTTTAATCTGATTCCGTGCTGAGCGTACACGAAGCCAAGTTCAGATCGAAATTTTCGCGCGCCGCTCACGACTCACGTAAAAGTTGTAACTTGCATAAACCAGCGCTGTTTTACATGGGGACCAAAACGCGGGCAGTTCGTAGATTTAGGTCTTAAAAAGGGAAGGGCTGTCAACTACATCGAATGATCTTCGAGATGGCCGTTTCAGTTCAATAAACTATACAAATATGGAACACCCTTCCTAAGACATAGATATCATCTCCATATCGCATATTGCTCGCTAATGCTTAATTAGAACACAGTCGCGTTAAAAGGTGTATTGCGTGGTCAGAAGTAAGTAGCCGAAGTAGAAAACGCACCGGAAGAATACCACTTGCTTGGTAAAAAATGACACGTCTGCCTGACATTAAAATAGCGATACTCGTACGTTCAAAACCATGATAGGCGCTAGACCCGTTTCAAGTTGAAGGTAAGCGCAGCGATTATTATGAATGTGTGGATATGTGAATGTGTGGATGCTTCTCTCTCTCTCTCTATCTCTCTCTCTCTTCTCTCTCTCTCTCTCTCTTCTCTCTCTCTCTCTCTCCTCTCTCTCTCTCTCTCTTCTCTCTCTCTCTCCTCTCTCTCTCTCTCTCTCTCTCTCTCTCTCTCTCTCTCTCTCTCTCTCTCTCTATCTCTCTCTCTCTCTCTCTCTCTCTCTCTCTCTCTCTTCTCTATTCTCTCTCTCTCTCTCTCTCTCTCTCTCTCTCTCTTCTCTCTCTCATCTCTCTCTTCGCCTCTCTCTATTATGCCCTCCTATATTGCTTCCTGTCGAAAATGAAATTCGTGGTCTGGCTTCATCTTTCAATCGCCAAGACATTAACCGGCAGTTAGCAGGTACATCATTAGAACCTAAGGTTACAACCATTTAAGATCATGTGTAATGCTGCTGTGCACAAACATATTGTCCTTAAACAAGCAACCCATCTCAAAGCAATGGCCATTTCAGCTACATATAGCACGCATCATCACTTCCGTCGTTACCCCGCGTGACACTGCAGCAGACCTCCGTCGAGTGACGCCCCTTAATTCACGAGTACTATGGCCTGATATACATTTGTTCAGTCACCAGTTTACAAGCGGTTAGACGGCTCCAAAATGGCTTGAGGTGCAGTGACACATTGATGGGATGTTGGCAACGAACTTACGTGACACAGCGTTCCATTTAAAACTGTGTGACTGTTATATACTGTTAGTATATAACAGTCACACGAACTCGTGTGACATAGCGCTCCATTTAAAACTGTGCCCCCGTCTCCGCATTAATCGCTGTTGTTGTATGCGTGGTCCGTTGTCACCATGCATTCATGTATTATTCAGCTCCATTATCCATTATTCAGCATGCATTGTTTATACAGCACTGCAACTGGGATCGTGGTATTTATTTTTACCGTTATATTGATATTAGCCATGAAGCCCCGCAATAACGCAGCGTGCAGTTAGATGTCGCGCGGCTGAGTGCATCTTATGCTATATTTGTATCTTGAACTGCATCAGAAGCAATGCACTCAACGCTGTTTTGCGTTCATAAAATTTACACGCGCATAACGATTCCACACGTTATGAACCATGCACTGACATGCGTCCGCGCAAACACGACAATTGATGGGGTATTTTGTTTGCTCATAAGTAACTGGCAGGAAAGACCCATTGGGATATGTTTTCTTCACATCCCTACCTTAGTAACCAATCAACGGAATGCATAAATTAATGCATTAGTCAAATATACTGGTAAAAACGTCAAACAGCGGATCCAGCTTCATTAACACGCGCTCGGGTGAGGGGCAAATTGATCTCTCGAAGGTTTTTCCAGAATCGGCGTAGCCGCGCCAAATTTTGCATAGCTGTAGAAATTAAATAACGGATCGGTTGGCATCAAGAATTTATGCGTAGCTTATAAGGTCACTGACCTATGGCAGGTCAAAGTCAGGGCATGGCTTCAGCGAAGGCAATTTCTAGGGAATCCTTCAGTCTGGTACAAGAACGGAGTGCTAGACGAAGCCAAACATCTTTGAGATACTTTCTTAGGCACCACAACAGTTGGATGAACAAATTGCATTGACTGAAGGTCAGGTATGAAGGTCACACCAAGGTCAAAACCAACCTGTTTTATTACTCTAGGGCTTGCTGTATCGGATAGTTTCTGGTGCTCATTTCGAGATTATTGATAGCAGGAACCACACATACATCTTCCATGGACCTCTCAATGTTTTGTTTTAGTAACATACTTCCTAGCTTAATCTTTGTCGGTTAGTCAAATACAAAACTCAAATCAATCTTGTATGATTCTGGTCACCTTGACCTTCAAAAGGTCAAACACGGTCACTGACCTTAAATGAGAATGTGACCCTTTGCTTAGAAATGGTTATCTAGGTTCTAGGGGGACTTTGGAGACCAGCCTGGAACTTGAACTTGTTTGACCTTTTTTGACCCGAAGGATATGCCCTAGGAACCTGAAACTTTGACCTAAGTGAGTTCACGTACAGGTCAATACACCCTGTGAATTAGGTGTCTCTAACTTTTTTAGTTCCCCAGATCTCAGGGAGGGGGTCAACTTGACCCCCCCACCCGAGCAAAGGGTATCTAGCCGGCCATCCGGGCGCGTGCTAAGGAGAAAAAAACCTTGCTGATCCAGGGTTGACTGACGACGTCACCGGTGGAGTCGTCCCGTAAGTTTGGCTGATTCCTATAACATACATGTTTCCCATGGACTGGAGAAATTACAGTAACCGTCCACCATCATTTAGCCACATGCCATCCACAAAATGCGAGTTTTCAGGTTAAATGTCGCTTTACGTACAAAAATGATGTCATAGCTTATGCGATAGAGGAACGATACGAATTAAAAACATGAGGCATCGTCCATAAATTATGTTACACGTGTGGGGAGAGTGGGTGGGATGATGGGGTGTTGCGGAGGTGTGACAAGAGAGGGAGGGTAAGGTATCGGACAGGGTAATGTTACGTTCAGGTGTGGCTGGAAATCATGCGAACAGCTTCATAAGAAACAACAAAATAAAGTTTTCATGCTAGCTTCTATTTTCTTTCTTTTATGACAGAAAACATCCACTTCATTTGTTTCTTATCTCTAGCTCAATTAGAGACAAAACGGACATTGCTTTTTTGGACGTTACGTTTATCGCCCAACACAGTGTAACCAGGGGAAGATCCTGTGTAACCAGTGCGTAACCAGGGGGAGGGCCGGTTGAATAATCGTCAAAATTCATAACGTAATGTAATGACAACCCCCTTACGAACGTAAGCAAGTGCAAATGTGTACCATAAACCAGAAGGGTGATTAACCTGCCCCTGTTAGTGGGCGGTCAGGTAAAGTTACGTCAGATCACAAGCTTGAGTTCCATTTTGACCATGATGCAACATGATGGATGTTCATGCATAAAATTTTCATAAAATGCCCGGTAGCTGGCCTACAAGTTCACACATTCAGCGCAAACAAGTATCACAATATAATTATTCTAGTAAAATAATAACTTTATATTACAAACGTAGGGATGCAAATAAGGCACCACGTGTTGATTCATATGGCATCTATCCTTTGCCTGCTGCTCGCTTTTTAGCTTACCATTTCAAAAAATGAAATGAAATGATCAAACCATCATGCCTTTTGTAACTAGGTCAAAAAAGATACCAAGCTTCAGAGGTTTCATCAAAGGACTACCTTCATGGGAAGCAGAGGGATCACTTTCTAAAATCGGTTTGGAGGCGAGGTCAGCCAAAAAGGTTGACCCGACCTATCCGAAAACCTCATTTCTTCCTGGATTCGGGTCATTTCCTTCCCTGATGTCGGAATTTAAGAAAATAACTTTTTAATGTTTCATAGACCAAAAATTGTTTTTCTGCGGAGCAATGACTTATCATTGCTGGTGAATGCGAGCCGCCTTTTCGTAAGAAGCTTGCAATGCGGTATAGTTTACAGGAAAAAGACATTTCAGCAAGATTTAATACAAAATCGCACATGACTATCGCTGTCGCCGATCGTGCTGTATAGCCACCACAGCCACGATTATTTGACAACTACGCTTGCCACTGTTGGACAAAAACATGCCTTAACTCTTATCATTGCCGCCCTGTACTTTTAAAAGTTGCCATATTCTCCAGTTATTTGTTTTTTATCCCGATCCACGCGCCATTATTCTGAAAATCCGTCAAATATTTGCAAACTGGCTTAGCGTGTGAAGGAGTTAGCACGACACAAAATATTAGGCATCTACAGGATGTGGCCTGATACAAAATATGCGCGATCCTAAAAATGATGTTTAGTTACCTTCTACCAAATATACCCATGACTTAAAAAATTGTTGCGTTTATTTGGCCTCGCATTCCCTCTTTGGTTATATGTATTGAAAGCAAAAAGCTGGTCAAGAGGAGCACGGCGAGGGGAGGGTCAAGTCATCACTGGGGTGACTCAGCCCCCCCCCCCCCCCCCTGAAAGTACATCAAGTGGCGCCCCTGATCGGCAACCACTACTAGATAATCCATATTGAGAGAGCAGGAACACCGATATCAAGGCAGGCCTGGCCTGGCTCCTGACCAGTGCCGAAACGCCATGACCCACGTGCTAAGGTAGGTGGTCTGGCTGAGGCTGTAACCGGGATCGCTAGAGGCAAGATAGTGCGTCACTGATATGCCGTCGGCCTTGAAGCAATATAAAGCTTCCTTTAGGAAACACATGTATGCGCTGCATTCAGAGTGCCGAAGCCAAGCATCCCTTCAGAAGGGGCAGAATCGGGTTATATGGATTCTTTTAGCAAAAGGGGCCACCTCCCTTCGCTCATGTCTTTTTTATCTGTTTTTCTGTTGTTTATTGAGGAGCTCTTTAGGCTCGGGATTCTGTGTTGTGTCTTGGTGACCCATTTTTTGTGCTTTTAGGCATTCTTATTTCCCAACACTTAGCGTCAGGGTGAAAAACGCGGTCTACCGTTAGTGTTTGCTTTAATGCACACATGCCACAGGTGTGTCCCCAGCTGGCTTTGTTTACTGGAACGCTGTGAATAAATGTGTGTTGCGCCACTCATCGTGTTGATCAGCCGGGTAATTATATGCGCGTCACTGCCCCGCATATATCGCTCATTTTTCGAGCATGGTACGTTTATTCGGACTCTTTCACAGTTGATAAACCAAAGGGAGGTTTGGAGTCACTACTGCGGTGTGCTTTTCAGTAGGTGTGCGCATTCAAAGAAATTTCCAACAATTTTTTTTTTTGTCGACGATGCGCAGAACGAAGGTCAGGACGCCATGGGTTCGGCCGAATACAAATGCGTATTAGCGCCCCATGCACGTAATATTACTGATGCGGTCGTAAAACAACACCGTCTCGCTCTTCTTGTGCGGCTTTAGTTTCACTGCTGTCTTGGGTCCAGTGCACTGTACACGAGGCAGCGTGCAACCACTGCAGTGGTTCGACAATTTTGCAGTTTTGAACTACTGCAGTGGTTCAAAATCAGTACATTTCCTGAAGAAAGAATAAAAATATACTAGATTTCAATTACACACTGCAAGTTAGGTATATACCAAATGTTTGGTAGCCTCTAATTGGGGGTGATATGGCGCAGACACTACGATAGTGAAGGCCGGTAAAATGAAAAGGCATTCCTTTTGGAAACGACGATTTTGTGAAGTCCCTGCTTCGCCATGCAGAGATATCTGGTCTTCTTCTCCTACATTGGGACCAGGTTTCGGTGGGTAGCTCTGGCCACTGTCATTTGATGATCAATCGACAATGCCTCTTTTACAGGAGTGCCTAATTTTATTACAAGGACCATTGCCAAGCATAGCGGGTGTCTCCGTTGGTTGTGTATTTCGCGGAACCTGACTTTTTCTGCATTCTGAATATTAATGCAGATATACTATCACGGTGTACTGTAGCATTATCTATAGTATATTGTACTTGCAGCATACCGCAAATAACAATGCATCAATGCTCAGTAGCATTAGCTGGCAGCTAGGGAAGATCGACAGTGCTGTCTTGTGCTGATGTAGACATCAACCATATAAAAATTGGTAGAACAAAAACTTGTGATCAAGGACATCATGCAGGGATTTGTGTGTGTGTTTGGCATGATACAATGGGTTTTCAGTCAAGCATTTTGGGTTGTGCCATAGTGTCATGAAATCCTGCACATTTTCATGTTATGTGCTGTTTTTTAGATAATGGGAGCAATTTTCCACCCGATCAACACCCAGTTTCCTAGCTATGTTTAATAAGCATGCACACTACTTTTCATTTGGCAGGGAGACCAAACAGCAGGGGCACAACATTTAAAAAGAGTGAAAATAAACATCTGTTATACTAGGCAATTACTGATGCATGATAATAACAATATTGAAATATTGAAATGTACTGCTGAGCTACCCAATACTGTTTGGTTGATCTTGTGTTGACACAGTGTATTTTATGCAGAAACACCTCTTGATTATGTTTTGTGCTACAGTTCTTATTTCACTTATGAAGTGATATCACCTGATTTAATGTCAAAGCCTTAACCAATTAGCCTTGTCCTTCTGTCTTGCAACCTATCATTGGCCACCACATGTAGACTCACTAGTCAGGTTAGCTTGATATTTGCAGAAGTAATAAACTGGTTTCTTCATACTAGACTAGCACTGCCTCAAACCTTGAAGTGCTGGTAACCAAATGTTGTATAAATAGGCATTCACTGAAACAGTTTACGATAGATATGTAATGATTCTGAAAAGCAAAAAAAATCTGTAGATGCTATGATTTGCAGCCATTATTGAGCACATAGACATCAAAATACACAAATGGCCTGCATAAGTAACTCAGAAAGGTGCTATCTGGCAGCATAATGGAAGAATGAAGACTGGCATGTGCATCGGTGCCCGCGCAAGATATGAAAGATATTGTCAGTATTGGATTAGATCATGAACTGAATCCCTCCGTCACTTCCACCCGCGGCACCACCAGCAGGGGCGCTACTTTCTCTCCCACTGGGGATATAGGTGGCGCTACCGTCGGTGCCATGGCAGGAAAAGGGCTTGCGTGGCTTGTGAACATTACATTCCGGCTTTACAGCTTGATACGACCACCAGCTGGTCGGTGGCATGGTCGCCGACACGACACGACGTCGGCCCACACTGTGGCCATATTCTTGCACAGTGTGAGTCGTCGGTTTACTTTTGGTCGTCATTAAGTGAACGCACGCTCTGAACGCGCCGCAAGCCATCTGCCACGAATCAAAACACGAACTACGTGGTCTTGACGCACAGGCGCACACAAGTGTGTGTGTGGGGGGGGGGGGGAGGGGGCACATCCGTGGTACGCTCAGACGTTTGCCCTGCAGCGATGGCCATCAACTTCGGGCCGGCATGACGTCACCATGGGTGCGTGACAGGAACACCGCGGAATGACAGCTCGCTTTTGCTGCTGGCAACGCTGTCATATGAGTGTGATAGCGTGCACTGGGCCGCCATTAGCGAAGTGTCCACTGCACAGTGCACGGGTGCCGGCGCGCGGAGTGCACGGCACGGCGGCGTCGTCGATCGTCGGACGCAGCACCACCGTCGCAGCGGGACACCCGGGACACCCGGGACACCCGGGCGACCCCGGCGACCTGGACAGGCGGATACCGCCACCGAAACACAGGTGGCGGCGGCGAGGGCCGTGTTTTTACCGGAGTACAGTTGGACGACCGATGCGCTCAGCGGTGTCGTCGGAAGCGAAGCCAACCCTCGCTGTGGCTCCCGCCAGCCCCCGCCAGCGAAGCGCGTGGGACTCAAGGCCGGGGTGCGGTGCGACCACCGGTCGATATGTGATTGGCATCAGCATCATCATTCATGCCTGCCTCTTTGGCAAAAACGGGTTGTCAGGGCAAGCGTCACAGGTACATACAATTATAGTTATCCATGTACAAACTGAAGGCATGTGGCAAGAATCACACAGCACGATGTATGGCGGCGGTAACAAATGCTTCTGCTCAGAAAAAGCAGCGTAGCATAAAACACTGATCGGCAACGCAAGCAGCGCGTGCGAGGGTTTCAGACAATATCTTCACATATACATACATACGTATGTATATACATGCATAGATGCATATATATATATATATATATATTGGTGGTTTAGGACGCGTCAACTACTTTGGTGATTTGCGGCAGGATTTGTGAATGGACGTGGAGCGCAGTGGATGAGGCCACCTCCTTCTGTGGCACGAATTTAGCATTTTTCCCGTATCCAGTGAGACAGATGCCTCCCTTTCCCAGCATCCGCGCTGGATCATGCCTGAATATTGTTGATCGCAAGTCGGTACATAGCAGAGCACGACAGTCAGTTCTGAATAGGTGGATGAAATGGCGCATATTATTGAAATAGCCCTTGACCAGCCAAATACAAATGAACGGCCGCACCTCTAATGAGGAGGACGGGTGGCTAGGTAAGCTCGAACACAGAAAAGCCGTATGCCCAGAAATGTTTGCCCAGGTGTACGAAGGCTAGCTGAAATGACAACGTTTTGAAATGCGTCGCAAATTAAATCACTGTTTTCGACGACCCGTGGAACAATATTTTTCAAACGAACGTACTCATTATTGCATGAAATGACTAACCCGCTTGAAAAGCGGCATTATCAGGCTGAGGCACACGCAATGGCTATCCCTGTGGCGTCTATTTCAAGCGCCCGCACACGTGTCTTGCCGTGCTCGCCTAAGCCGCTGTCCATTCGGCCAGGCGACTGTTCCGGTACTCCGCCGACATAGCGACAGTCCGGGTCCGATTGAAGCGACAGGCCATAACTGACACAAGATCGGGTCGCCAGTCGATCTGACGATCGCCAGCCAGTGGGTTAAAGGCTGCGGCTAATCCGGAGGACGCCACTGTTTGCAGGAAATCCGGAAATCAGGCGGCTTTCGAACCTGCGGGGTTATGAATGGCCGTAACGCATACCCAAAACCGCCCATTGTACCTCTTGTTGGACTTGGGTCATATGGGGTCTGGGCTCGCGTTAGTTGGGGCCATCAGGACCGGATATTAAATTCACGATTAAGCCCTGAGGATAAACTGTGAGAATGACTGTAAAGCATTGGTCGTCGGCCCTTTCGTTCACGACCCAGCTAATTTCTCGAGTTTGGCTCAGAACGGATAATTATATATTTTAAAACTGTATGGTAAAATTTACCCAGTCGCTCTAACATCCAAAGAACCTGGACACAATGTGTGAGATAGACATCTGCCGGTACCCTGTCTCAGTAGTTTATACAAACTGGTTTCATTTAGCATTAACTTCATTCCCATTACTTTTTAACGGTCCTTCACGTGGGATCGATAAATGTCAGCTTTCTGAGTGTCCGAGAGCTGCTGTGCAAGGCTGAATTGTTAACTCGCTTCGATGGCCGACCATAAAAGGCTTGGCGCAAGGTTAGATATTCGGCCCTTCAGCTGGATAATAATCTAGTTCCGACCAGACACCGGCTGGCGCACTAGTCCATAGATAAAAGTCCGTCGCACCACAATAGGATGCGCCGAATTGAGCTGGATTTACGCTGCGGACAATTAAAAAGCTTTGTCCAATGTAAGATTGCCTCGTCTGGCCTAGCCATCTAGGGCTGCCGCAACAGACTATTTTTAATGAACAAATGAGTCATGGAAATGCTCGCGGTCGAACTGAGCTAATGAGCCGTTCTAATGAAGTGGTTATAACATGATGTATTGAGCGACGAACAGTCGCATTTGGTCTCTCCGGAATTGCGAAGGGGGCCAATCATGTGGGCTAACAAAAATTGCGCCTGTTTCTGTTTCAGGGGCGCCCAAGTCCAGTTGCCACCGGGCCCACGACTTGAACCTTACGAAGACAGAAGCACAGTACAGGGAATGTTCAATCTGGCACTATGCCATTTTAGATCGGCTAATACACCTGTGTTCGTGCTCTCCAGCCGGTAAGGGATATAGTTGTTTTGCTTATTTTCAGACTTACTGGCCTGTGGCGTAACGCCGTCGCATCACCCCCACTTGTATTGAACCGTTCGCGGACTGGGTGGGGGGGAGGGGGGGGGGGGCAGGGGGCGAAGAGTATCACCCCAAGCCATTGGTGAAGACACTAGTCCACATGGAGCCAAGACATGCCAGCATATAGAGGTGTTGCATGGGATAGCGGGCATCTCGGTCGACTCGGCCCGACCCCTCGCACCTCTTTGCGAAGGGATGGGATGAACGCGGAACCAGCCCGACACCGAACACAAGTCTGTTCGTTCCCAGTTCCCAGGCAGGTCACGTGCCTGGAGTCCGTGCGCTGTCTGCAGTTGGGGTCGAAATGACCATCGTTTCTATTTGTTCCATATCCACCACTGGAAGAATAAGACTGATGCCTTGCTCAGCCAGTTTCTATACCCACGTGTCACCTGTGGGAGGTTACAGGTGATAGGTCATCAGCGGGACAGGTCATCAGCTGGTCCGCTCTCCGCTTCGTAGGTCGGAGAGTGCTGAGAGTGCTGTGCTGCCAATCCATCACTTCGTTATTGAGGACGCCGTCGTCGTTTCAATGACGTGCGCAGTGACAGTGTCCTCCGCCGTCGTGTTCAACAGCGTGTCCGTGCAGGGACGGCACCAAATTACACAGCACTGCTACCAGCTGTTGACTGTGGGATTAAAACACTAATCTGTAGAACGGGTAGCGTTTAAGCTGGTCACAAACAGACCGAAAATGTTGCCTGCCGCGCTGACAGCCGCTCTTGTTTATGCCTACAGTTATTTAATTCATTTATATGACGCAATTATTTATGGAATCGCTCGATAGCTTGCAAATGTACCGACGTTCCCTGGATAATGTTGTCCAAAAACCTACATTTGCAATCATGTTAAGATCGGTGACCCATCATTATCTTCCCTTGCTACGAATGCTGTCCGTTTTGAACCGCCATTGGGTCGTGTATGCCAAGTTTCCGCTTTGCTTTTTCAAACACGCTGGCGAGTGTTACCGACACACTGTACAGTAACGCCATGCGCACCATTATTTGACCACCATCGGGCACCAACACCATTGTATGAACATGATTCCAGTGCCAACTCGAGTGTGCTTCTCGGGTGATGACAGAACCATGGGCGACTGACACCTTTAAGGTAGAGAGGCCGTTCGGGAACAACTGGATTAAAGTTAACTGCATGTTCTGAGAGCATTGGCCCGAGCGACCGACAAGTTGATGTACGTATGCTGATGTGAGAGAGGGGCACCGTGTCATTGTCTAGTTCTTCGGTGCAAGAAATGGTACGGGGCGTCCGAACTCAGCCCCCTCCTCTTTGGAGCGGAACGGCGGACTGCTTTGCACGCGGCTGCGTGCGCATTAGTACAATGCAGTCATTAACATGGTCAGACACGCAAACTAAGCACCTGAGTGAGTACCAGACACTGTTACGTTTGGCGTCTGGCTCTGCTTTGAGCAGGGCTATGCAGATGGTAATGTAGCGTTGCAAAGGAGCAAGTACTGTGCAATGCAAGTTAAAAAAAATTGCAGCTTAAGCTTTCCTGCTTCTTAGCGGGCTCTTGGCCTTGGGGATAACAATGGAAGTGGCCCTGGAGTTCTAGGGTGCTTATTTTTAAGGTAAAGTGTTTTTGCAACGCTCCTCAATCTTGCAACAGTCTTTAAATTCTCATTTAGGAGTTTTTGTACTTGACAAGAACACTGAAGGTGATCCTGGGGCGCTACTTTGCCTCATTTGGCCGTAAAACTCTTGCGACATTGTAATTTTTCGGAACAATTTTCCAAATCCTCGGCCGTCGGGCAGGCCACGAAATTCCCCTTTAAACCGGCGATTTCCTGATAGTTTTCACACTTAGTTGGCGTCAGACAAATGTAGCAAGGGGGGGGGGGGGGGAGGAGAAGGTAAGGAGACATGACCGGGGAGGGATGGAAACGGAGAGCAAACTGCAGCTCCTCAGCCCCTCGTCGCAGCTCCTCCACTGACGTGTTGGTGACTGCGGTCGCCGGTTACAGTCTGCGCTGATCCCGTGAGTCGTTGCCCTCCTGTTGTCCTGTCGTTCTGTCCCCCGTGAGGGGTTATTCATGTTCCTCCTGAATGTGACCCTCCTGCCGGCTTTGTTCTACAAATCCCTCCTTCCAGCTTCCGACCATCAGCTAAGCTCGCCCCCATTCGTGCCCATGTTCAGGTCCGTTGTACATACGTTCTTTCCTGGCCAGCGGCAGGCCCAAGGCTTCGGAGGGCGAGCGTCGGTATGCCCCGGGTGGTGCCTGGTCCGTTGGTTTTGTTGTGGCGTTTTGCTGCGTGCTGATCGGCTGGGGCTCGGGCTCGAGCTCGGGCTCCGCACTTAGCCGTGGGGCGGGTGGTTGCATCACCTGGCTCCACTCTGGTGTGCTGCGCGGCTCTACACGGACCCTTCTCGGTCGTCCCCTGGTGGTGTGTCTACCCCGGTGCGGCGGAAACGCAGGCGGCGTGGGACGCGACTCCGCCGGATGCCCCGCAGCCCGGTGGCCTCATGCTCTGGACATGCTTTTAACACTTCGGGCATGAAGCAGTCATCCCGGGACACATGCTGCGTTTCGGCCGGGACGTCTCGCCGCCTGATGATCGTGTTATAGACAGGGCCCGCCGTTGTCCTTCTGGCACGGCCTGTGCGCCCAGACGCCTCGCCCGGCTAGCTGGTCGCTGGCTTTCCGTCTTAAATATCGCTACCCGGCCGCTATGCAAAGTAGGAAGGCCTTGCAAGGGAGAGATAGAGGGGGGGGGGGGGGGGGGGGTGGTAATAGGAACGACATTACAAAACAAAGCAATGTACACACGCGATATAAGTCAAATGTAAGTTCCGCCTTACAGTAACAAAATGTTTTCACTGGAAGTCACGTGCGCGCGCGTCGTCACCAGTTGACGCGCTGCCTTCGTGCTGTGACGGCGTTCGTGGCTGCGGGCAGGACGGACTCGGGCGTGCACGCTCTCTCCAGCAGCGGTCACGTGGACCTGGCCCACCCGTACCACGAGGAGGGCCGCGTCTTTCGGCCGGCACGGCTCCTTAGGGAGCTCAACCGCTACTTCGACAAAACGGCCACCGAGATCAGGTGAGCCGGCTACCAGAGTCGCCCGGTGCTGACCAGTTCTGTGTGGGTGTGTGGTTGTGCTCGTGGTGTCAAAGGCCGCTGGGTGTCAAAGTGCAATGCTACGCTCTCGATAAATACGAATTTGTACTGCACGTCATGTGTCAGTTCGTCAGTGGTTATATGTCATACGTCAGTCTTTACACCTAATACATCAGCGCATTGTTCTGACGCACGTCCCGGCGGCAGCGAGGCGTTGCTTCCAGTTGTTACTGTCGTCTTTTAACCAGTCATCCGATAGTAAATTGGAACACGCCCGCTACTGCTACCGCTACTGCTTCACGCCCGCTGACCGCTGCGCCCCGCCCGGCAGCGTGCAGCGCGTGCTCTGCGTGCCGGAGACGTTCCACGCGCGCTTCAGCGCCGTCAGTCGCGCCTATCTGTTCCGGCTGGGGGTGGTGCGTGCGGAGGCGTGGCCACCCGACGCCGACCGCACCGCCTGTGCGGACCCTTGACGCCCATCACCGAGCTCGGACGCAGCTGGGTTGTCGGGTCCGTGCACCGCCGGGCCCGAGCTGGCGCCGGCGGCACCGGTCAATCACGTGGGGAAGGCGGTGACAGTTGACGTTTCGAGCGCTTTCGGCTGTAAGGGCCATTTTGCTGGGGCCGATTGAGGACAGGGAGGGATAGTGGGCAGGTTAAGTTCATGCTTTCCATGCCCTTTCGTAAGCGTAGTGCGAAAATTCGAGATTCCTGTGTGTCGTGTGCGGCCATCTGTTGGCGCCGCCCGGCCTCGTGACGCAGGCTCCTCTCCCATGACGTGTCACGATACTGCCAGTCTTTGTCTATCGTTTTTGTCAGGTGATCTCATCTGGCACATCCCATTTTTGGTGTCAGAAGCTCGTAAGGTGTTCGTTCTATCACAACACGCCACGCCAAAACAGTGGCCATGCAAACCTGTGCTGTGGTGGTGCGTGGCAGTGTGTGACGTGGCGTGTGTGGCATGGTGTGTGGGAGCGGGTCGTGTTGCAACGTTTGCAGTGTGTGGTGAGCGGGTGTTTGTTGCACACGTCTGCTGGTGAGCGTGGTCGTGTTGCAGCACGTCTGCAGTGTGTGGCTGAGCATGGTCGGTGGTGCGGCACGTCTGCAGTGGTGGTGGCTGAGCGTGGTCGGTGTTGCGGCACGTCTGCAGTGTGTGGCTGAGCGTGGTCGGTGTTGCAGCACGTCTGCAGTGTGTGGCTGAGCGTGGTCGGTGTTGCAGCACGTCTGCAGTGTGTGGCTGAGCGTGGTCGGTGTTGCAGCACGTCTGCAGTGTGTGGCTGAGCGTGGTCGGTGTTGTGCGCTGCAGTGGTGGCTGAGCGTGGTCGGTGTTGCGGCACGTCTGCAGTGTGTGGCTGAGCGTGGTCGGTGTTGCGGCACGTCTGCAGTGTGTGGCTGAGCGTGGTCGGTGTTGCAGCCAGCCGTTCAGCGTGACCGGCTGCGGGAGTGCGCCGAGCTGCTGTCCGGCGAACACGACTTCCGCTCCTTCATGGGCACCAGGAAAGGGCTGACGGAGGACCTGGTGACCCGCCGACACCTGGACATCGAGCTCCGGCCTGGCGCCACCTGTGTCGACGCACCTCACCTCCAGTTCTGGGACATCGTCTTCAGCAGCAAGGGCTTCCTCTATCGTCAGGTGTGGTGGTGTCACCCCCACGGCGACGGCAGTGCGGTGCTTCCAACCATGCACGATGGGCGGACGCACGGCTAAGACGTGGCGTGGATCCCGTCGATTTCTCGTGTTGAAGCTCTGAACATGGTTTTGAGCATCTCGGGTTTTGAGCATCAAAACAAAATAGTTCAGGTGAATTTGCACGGTGTACACAACTGGTACTGCAGGGAAGTTTTTGATGGTAGTCGGCAGTAAACTCCATGCGCTAGTTGGTTTCAGTGATTGCCAAAGACCATTGAAGATTGGCTACTTGCATTCCTACCATGCCTACCGTACTTTTTGAAGCTATGGAAGTGATAGAAAGTTGTTTTCATTGACAATTCTATTCTGACGTTGTGAGTTTCAATTAAGACCAATACAGACCATTGCGTAAAATGTTGCGCACCTGTTGCATGATTTTCAGGGCACATTATGATTACACATTATTTACATTACACTACACATTATTTGTGATTGAAATATCGTGCAAGTCACTATAATGTAAATAGGAGCATCTGGCACATAGTCGTTAATGCAGCTACCTTTCATGCAAGGTGCAATCTATCTCACCTAAGGGGCAGATGCTGGGGTATTGTAATACCCGCTTAGGCTCCTTCTGACCTAGACATTTAAGTTGGTACCGAGGGCGTAGTTTCCTATTTAGTTGGATGGACGTTACCCCCTCCCGCCAACTTTGAGAAGACATTCGGTCAAATTCAGGGAAAGCATTATTTGAATTTTTATTGTATTTTCTATGTTAGGCCATTTTTTCTGCGCACCCTCCTCCCCAAAATTATGTGCAAACCTACACCGTCCGTGACGTCGGACTGCTGTGCGGTCGTCATTTGGAGTCCAATGAGCAGACGCAGGGAAATTAGTTCCTCATAGAGCAAGCCAGCCCTGCATAGTAAGCATCCGCTTCATCCACCCACCGATGTCGTTTCTGATGCACTTTTGTCCTCAGTGTATGACGCTGGGATGAATTTGTATATTATGTTATCTATAGTCTTAACCAATCCCACCGTCGCTACCCGACACGGCTTCCGCAAGGGGCTCTTCTTAAAAACGTCAGAAACACAGGATGCTGCACAAATGGCGCGCACAGAAGCAGTCTTTAACAGAGCCGCCGTCAATTATTTATCAGTTCTGCTTTTGCTTATTTGGGATGATTATGATTCTCTATAGATTATTAATAGCAAAAGCCAGTTCCGATGTAAGTTACATTAATAAACCCGAATAACTACGTCGATATAACGCCAAAAGCTCTGCCCAACGCGGAACAAGAAACCCTGCTGTAGTTTTACACTCACGCCACAATCTAGTGGCCACGCTTCGTAGATGGATAGAAAGAATGGTGCGCCTTGATCTAATGTATTCTTGTGGATTTTTATTCCGTATTCAACTCAGATTACATGGTGGGCAGTGTGCCTTCTCTCCATTGCTAACTCCTCCCCAAGAACCGGAGCCTTGCGGAGCCGCGGGTTTTACGTGCCAAAGCAAGTGTTTAGGATGACACTTGACGTCACTGTTATACCTTGTATACAATCTTCATTTTTACGGCTTCAAATGGGAATTGAATAAAGGTAACATTAAAAATGTATTCTAGAGTTGTGTTCACCCAATGTATAATCAATTTACGTTACATTGATATGCATATGCTAGTGTGACGTCATGTATTTTCACACCAATTTTTGTTGTGCTGCAATGACTTAGGTGTGCAATCTAAAACGTTGACGAATACGGGATGCTCTCTGTTTTCTCCGTTCTCGCTGGCTATTCGCCTTGTGAGGAGAGGCGGTTGGTGTTTGGAGTGCGGCGCTCGTGGTCCGGCGTCTGAGCGCGGTGGTGTCGTTGGTGGACAGTAGGTCGGTTATGCTTGTGCTGGTGAGCAAGGTGGATTGAAAGGACTGAGTGCATTGAAAGGGACTGTGTGTGATATGATAACAAGATTCGGCTGAAACCTGCTAGCAACATCCCTCGTCTAGTCGTGGTGAGTGTGGCACGCGATGCTGTCGAAGTTTCGGGAACGGCTTCTTTACATCTCACGTTGTACACAAATGGCAAGTTTTGATATTCTTTCCAGCGTATATTTGTGGAGGCAAAAATCTCTTGGGGCAAAACAAAACGCTAGGAAGCACCCAAATTTCAGACACTGAACTGGCCACAAAGAGCTGACTACATTGGGAAACCACGTCAGCTTGCTCTATACGCTTTGGACCACAATGAGCACGCAGCGTGTATTCTGTATCGGTGGAAATACCAGACGACCGCGCTGATTTGTAGTGCCAATTGCTCAAAGGGAATGCTCCACATTTGAAGATATCGAAGAAAGCATCAGATACGAGTAAGTAAGCTCACTTATAACCATTGGTATACTTCTAAGTGGAAAAGGCTGCTCTAGACAACACAATTTCTCTGCTCAGTAAATATGGTCCTCAATGCGTCATTATTTGATTACGCCATTGTATCTTGCTCAACATTGATTGAGGGCCAGTTGACGGCCATGATACGTGGACATTGTGCTCACGAGCGCCAGATATGAACGACTCAAGTGGGCAGGATATAAAGGCCGTTATGATGGCGTCGTGGATGTCTGGGTGGCCATGACATATATTCCCCGAAAAAGTTGCATATCTTCGCGGGTGTGTAACCCAAAAACTGGAAGGGTGTAGGTCTTAAGAAAGGCAGGACTGTGAACAGCACCGAATTATTCTCAAGATGGCTACTTCAGTACAAAATCCAATACAGATGTGGGACACTCCCGTAGTGTGATTCATGAAGAACTCACAAAATGGCCTGTATGAAAATTTGATTAAGCAGGTCAAGTTGGCTGCTCTCCGTGCTGTCGTTGAGGAGTCAAATACCGCATATCAGATGGACAACATACGAGTGAGACAGGATTAATGACCAAGATAACCGGAAAGGTTCCTCGTCGAACTGACCAAGAGTGAACCTGCTGTTCGTAATTGAGCCCACTGACTTGACGGCCTGTGTTGCCGGCTTGCACTGTTGGTCCGCTCTTCTCTTCCCCGGCGGCCCAGTTCGCTCCGCACCTGTGCGTGCCAACTCAGGCCTAGCACACTCAATCCAGGCGAGTAGCTGCGGCGCTGTTGGAATCCACCGTTTGGTGGCTTCACTACAGGTGATCAGCTATCACTTTGTCTGGATAGTTTCTCGATAAAGCTCTATCAGGGTCATCTCTATGACATCTAAATGAATAACTACTCCCGTCCCGGAGGCACTGAAGCACGGCGGGCAGGCCGCAGGAAATATGTCTGTGCGTAGGCTGTGCCGCATCACACAAAGTCCTTGCGGCGCAGTCTGCGTGTCAGTAGCGGCAGTTTCGTGCTGCCGCTGCAAATCTGGAGCGACGTGTAATTCAACACCGGGAGCGCGTGAGTGGAAACCCCGCAGCGTTCGGCGTGAGGGGAATGGGAAGGAACATCTTCTGGTTCAGTCAAAGATGATTTCTTACTGTGCAACGCCATAGGGCTAATACTGGGCAATTGAGAAGCTGCGGAGCGGTGGTCGTCCTCGCGCTCTTCCGGTGCCTGAGCCCTCGACTATCAGCCTGACTCATAGCCATAAAACTGATATGCTGTCAATGCCAACTGATCCAGGCCGGGCTCCGTTCTGATTAGTTTATCGTACAGCTGCTGGCTGCCTACCTGGGGCTATCAGAACGGTGCATACTAAGCATGAAAGTGAAAAAGACTTGTGGCGAAAACGGCATGCGGTTATCTGTAGTGGGGATGTGAGAACTGAGGAGGTATTTTATCATTTGAGCAATCAAAACTGGTTGGTGATTGTCATGGTCATGTCATAGTAAAGTCTCGGTAATTAAGAGTAAAATCTGACGCATATTAGAAGACGCGCATAGCTGTTTGTCAGCCACATTTGTGTAGTTGTCGCGCACGTGCCAATGTTGCCAGAACATATTTTAAAGGAAGCGTTATATATTTGTATGAACTTTTGAACTGAAATGGCCGTTTTGAAGGTCACTTGGCGCAGTTCACAGCCCTGCTTTTCTTAAGACCTAAACCCTGTTAGTTTCTGAGCCTCACGCCGCGAAGATGTGCGGACTATTTCGGGAGACTCTTTCAACATCACTCAGGCATCCATGTGCCATAAAAACGTCATTCAAATCTTGCCATTCCACTAGTCATGCTGCGATCAAGGTCAAGAAAAATATCGTTGCCGAGTCGTTTGTATCTGGTGTTCGTGAGCACAATTTCTAGATATAACGTCCGTTAGGTACGTCCGTTAGGTACGTCCGTTATATATAATGTCCGTTAGGTACATTGACTTAGTCAAAAAATTACATATTGAGGAGTCCATTTAACAAAGAAATAGTGTTGTCTAGAGCATTCTTTTGCGTTATTTTAGAGCTTATGTTATCTTATTATTATCTTATATTTAGAGGGATTATTTTATCGTATCTGATGCTTGCTTGATGTGTTCAAATGTGGACCGTTGCCTTCAATTGCTATGTGGTCAGATGCGTATGCTGACGCCTGTGAACATGTCTTTACCAGGGTATTTCTGCCTAGCATTCACCACATATTTAAAGGGAGTGTGGCACTTTTGTGGGAAGGGAGGGGGGGTTGCGTTGAAATAGCCGAGTTGAAGATCATTCAGTGCAGTTAACAACCCTGCCCTTCGTAAGACCGAAAACTCTAGCTTCTAAACTACACGTCTGCGAACATGTGCAGACTATTGCGTGCAGACTTTTTTAAGGTGTTCATGCATGTATGATGACATACCAACATCATTAAAACCCTGCCACCCCTAGGCCATGTAGCCCTCAGGGCAAATAAAAGTGATGTCGAGCCGTTCAGATCTAGCGTCCGTGAGCACAATACCCAAATGTGGTGAACATCAGTTGGCTTTCAACTGATGTTGTGTAAGCTGTGCTTGCTGCAACCACTAAGCATGTTTTGTAATACATAATATAACAAGTCGGATAGGACTGCTAGTTGTTACGGAAATAAGGCTTACAATCGAAAAACTCAAGAATAGCGTCACAATCGAGGATGTAAATACAAGCGAGCATCTTAAACTCACGGATAGATATGCAAGAACACTACGAGAAAGGGCTAAACACGGACACAACGATATTTGGCTCAGCGAACATCTCCAGCACTGCAACTGCCATCTCTCGGCGAGTTGAAGTACTTCTCTTTCAAGTGCACTGGTGGCAGGCTCGCACGGCTAGCCTGGCAGCACCTCAACGTCATACAAACGCCCCATGATGCGGTCAAACAACGACGTATTGAGGAGCATGTTTACTTCATGGAGAAACTGTACTGTTTTAAGTAGTTCTGCCACCAAAAGTATACCAAAAGGTCTAAGTGAGCCTATTTAATTACATCTGATGTATGCTTGGATGCCTTCAAATGTGGAGCATTGCCCTTTCCATTTAAGTTTATTGTTTGTTCAGGCATGCTATTTTTCATTACCTGCTCTAGTTTTTGCTTTCCTGGCTATGACCATATCACGTGTCACGTCGTGCTTATCTTTGTTGTGGAATGCATCAATTCATTGAGAAGGTGTCACTCCAAGAGTGATAAGCGTGCTGTTCATTACTTGGCTGTCGCTCAGCGTGGATATTGTGCTAGATTTAGACGTTGCTGAGGGGATTTGAAGCTTTCTGGGTGGTGTAATTCACCGGTTTATTTAAAGTTTGTGAAAACAATGTAAGGTGATTTAAGGGATCTAAAAATAATTATTTCGTCCTGACTGATTGCCGAAAGCCCCGTCAAATTCGTAACCTCGTTGTCAATGCCCACTTAACGTCCTGCGGGTTTTCCCCGCGCTTGCTGGCATGTAGGCTCAAAACTTTCAGCTCTAGTCCATAGCTACCCGTCCAGTTCTGAAGCAACGCCCGGATTGCCAAGATCCTGCCGGAGGACTGGCCCAACATGTTACGCAATGGCGGTAATTTCATGACATAGCCTGGTGATTAGAAAAATATTTACAACTAGACACTCCGCTCGATTTGGGGGTGGGGGATGCGGCGCTGCCTCGCACTCCCCCCATAACTGTGTTCCAGATCTCGACCCATTTCACCAGCGTCGTTGGTGCTCCCTGGCGCTCCCCCCGTAACTGAACCCCAGATTTCGGCCCGCTTCGCCAGCGTCGGTGGCGCTCCCTGGCGCTCCCCCCGTAAGTGAAACCCCAGAGTTCGGCCCGCTTCGCCAGCGTCGGTGGCGCTCCTGGCGCTTCCCCGTGACTGAACCCCAGATTTCGGTCCACTTCACCAGCGTCGGTCGTGGGGCACGGGCTGTGCAGCGGTCGTCAGCAGCCGGTGGAGCGGCGCGGCCGGCAGCTGACCCGTGTGCTCCGTTGGACAGGTGCGTCGCACGGTGGCCGTGCTGGTGGCCGTGGCGCAGGGCCGGCTCTCGCTGGAGGACGTGCAACACCTGCTCGACGTGCCCAGCAAGGACAGCTGGAACCCGCGCGCCGCCACTGCGCCGCCTCACGGCCTCTACCTGCAGCACGTGGTGTACGACCCGGCCGACCTGGCTGAGCCGGCCGCGGCCGGCGGCGGGGAGCCGGCCGCCCGCGAGGAACCGGAGCCGTCGGCTGCGACCACGGGGCTGGACCCGCCAACTGAGGCCGTGGAAGCCCAGTCAGCGACCTGTGCTGCTGTGTCAGCGGCGGGCGGGGCTGGCGCGCGGGTGAACTGGTCAGACAGGGGTGCTCGTGGTGCCGAGGACTCTTCTCCGGCTGAGTGTGCTGCTGGTGCGGGCGAGGCCGTCACTGGCACGCGACTGGACTGCACAGCCGGGCGTTACTTCTGGTGCAGGATAGCCGGGGAGGAGTGTGGACCTTTTCAAATATGTTGTCCCAACCTCGCGATCGGATGCATTATGGGATCACACTTGTTACGCGAGTCCTGACCCGACTATCCGGTCGTGATATTCCGGGTTAACGGATTAATAACAGAGTGTTGCGGCTGGTGCTTAACGTGCCACAATGCTCTGCATGGTCTTCCTGCCCTCCAGTGCCACATCACCTTTAGCGTAGCCGCTCCAGACGCAGGTCATGTCTGCCAGGGGCGAATAGCGAGCGTCTAAAACGACCCGAACCCACCCTGCAACGTGTGTGTGGATCGGAAGGCAGACGTTTTGGTAAACTGACCCCTCGGGACAGACAAGAAGTGGAGACCTAACGAGCAACGTAGAATATATCTGAAAGTGTCCATAATGCGTGACAACGGAACCATGTGTTATTTTTTGTCTCTTTTCTCACTATTTCCCTCGCTATCTCCCGTTGCCCAAGTAACTAAGCCATATCATTCATCGTACGGCCTACGCTTGTCATGTATCTGTGGATTCAACATCTCCCAGCAGTGTGCTTAAACTCGTGTGCAGAAGATGTTGGCAGATACTGTCATGCAATGGGTTCCTAACTTAATGCAAATAATTGTTCTTCAATGGCTGGGCAATGAAAACGATGAAACAAGCAGCCTAATGACAAGGTTAAATAGTGGTCCACCTCACACTTCTTTCAAATTCTTGCAGACATTGAATACGTGTAATTTCTCAGGCGGTTTTGCACCTGCGTTGTCGGTTGCAATGCAAGCGTGCGTGTGTCATTGGGGCTTTACGACGCACTCAGCTACTAAGGCTATATGGCGCCGCCTGCCTCTCACCCTGGCAGGAAGGGCGGGCACCGTGGGGAATCGAACCCGTACCTCTGGTTTCCCAGACGCGCAGTGGTTAACGCAGACGCCTTGACCGCTGCACTACCGGCACCCCTGCAGTGCAAGCCTCGCACAGTGTCCGTCAGCTATCCGTGGCCGCAGCGATCAGTAGGAGGAGCCACGTGTTATCACTTCTTGCGTCATTGAGGTTTCTGTTGGAATATTTTCTTCCCGTAATTTTCCTCTCTTTGTTAACATTTTGGTCTGTGGGCAGGTCGTCCCATTTCAGATTTAGATCAGACCTCTTGAAAAAATATGCAGAGTCCTTTAATGATACCTCGTGGCAATATCACTTGTCCGGAAACATTCGATTTCATGCTCTAAAGCGACGCATTGTGAAAAAGAGGGTATCGCGAGCAGTAAGGATGCTCCGACCTAGTTGGTACTACACTTGGCAAAAGCGGTTTGTGTCACGCGTGGTATGGGACTGTCAATCCTCCAATATCAGGCGGAGAATCTCCTTTTTCATTGTTCGAGATGTTGAAGGCCAAAACATATTCACCAGTTGATGGTGTTTGTCCATTAGCTGGTGTCAGACTGAAGAACATGGCAACGGATTATGTAGGAACCAGTGCATCTGTCCATGAACTGCACAGGCCGCGATCTAAACGAATTCTTAACACACAGTCGATGCTATGTCTTGCCTACTAATGTGTTGTGGTCAGTAGTACACTAAAGTGTGATAAGACTGGGGTCTCAAACCACCCGTGGCTTGGTTGTGCTAGCTGAGGCTCCCATTTTGCGTACGGAGGCATCCAAAACCATTTCGAATACGCGACTCACTACACGCTTTATTGTTGTCCAGTATAATTAAAATATCTGTGGCTTCTCGTAACAGAGATTAGTGTGGAGAAAACTTCACTCACGGAATCGGTGCTGGTCTACATCGACCCGGAGCAGTGGTCAGTTGGTGGCTGGTGTCAATATGCGTGCACCCCATGCCTAACAATGCTTGTGCCTCATGTCCCTGTAATGTCAACGGCCGATTTTGGCACGAAGCCAAAAGAGCGTCAACAGCGCCGGTGACTCATGCCTCTGCGATGTGAACAGTTAACTTTGGTTCCGAGCTAAGTAGTTCTTTTGCTCATTCTCTGCGGTCGGCACGTAGTTAACTTACTTTGCATTTTACTTTTTAGCGCACTTCGAAAATTTACTTTGCAGCGGTGGTCTTGAAATGACTAAGCGTATGATCTTTTTGTCTTGATTTGGGGGCGTCAAACAATACTTTCACGGCGCTTGTGCACTGATTGGCCAGCCATTTCACCATCATCTCATGCGGAGTCAGTTTCCGCCAAACTTTGCCTCACATTTTGCTTAATTCGACCACCCATCCCGCTCGCGACACGTCGGCAAACACCGCCGGCGCGCGCGTGACGTCACTGGATCACCACGGTGCTGGTGCGTGTGTCCTCGGGGCCGCTCGGTCGGACAGCGCCCTGCTCCCCGTGCTCCCGCTCCGGTGCAGCGCCCAGCAGCTCCAGCTCATCGTTTCTGCGGCAGAGCGGTGCGAGACAGTGACTCTGCAGGCGGTGTGGGTGCGTCCAGAACTAAGCTTCATGTCTTAAACTTCAGTGCTGATGAGCTGCTGCGTCCAAACTTCTGGGCTACGGGGCCTAAGCTTCGAGACATTTTGACCTACAGTGCTGGGCTCATAAACCGAAGCTCCTGGAGTTGGAGGCGTAAGCTCCTGCAGCTCCAGATCTGGGTTTCTGGTCTTAGATTAGTCGATTGGTAAGCTCGTGTGCGTGGCCGCCTAGGCAGCCGCCGGCTGGACGGTCGTCTGGACCGCCGTCAGGACGTCCGACTGCGGCTCCGGCGAGTCGGCCTGCGGTGGCGCGGCGGCGGAGCCGGCACCAGCGCCGCTGTCAGCCACCTCGGTGGCACCCTTCTCCTCCAGCTGCAGCTCCATCTCGGAGGACTCGTCCAGTCTGCAGCGGGCGGGCGCGTCAGGCGCATGCGCGGCAGACAGCCAGCTGCGCACGAAACGGGGTGCGCGACGATAGTTCTTCGCGAAACACATGCGAAATGCCATTCATTAACAATGACCTGTCCCAGAAAATATCGGGAGTCATAGGGTCATTACAGTTGCCAATGAGGGTGGCCTGAACCATTCAAAACAGCCTGAAAAACCGGCTAGTGAAAAGCAAGCTCAACACCTGATAGTTGCTATCGAATGTCAAGACATAAGACGCTGGTTTGTCTGGCGATGTGGCTCAAATATTTAAGGAAATCTTTCAACTTGGTAGGAGTTAAAATCGTTTGTAAAAAAATTTCCTTGTCAGCTAGGTGGAAGTCAGGCAAAGATGAACCCTAGAACTCTTATGTTTGGTCATGTTTGTCAGTGTTTTATTACGTTTATGTATGTTTGTAATCCTATCATTGTTCCCTCCCAAGGGGATTCCATTTTCATTTCCCGTGCTCAATTCCTTATATTTATTCAGTTTTGTTCGTAACGCTTATTCATTTCATTTCGTAAATTATCACCTAATTAGTATTGATTCAACTCGCCAACTTTCCAGCACGTCCCACGCGACCGTATACGGTGACGGAGGCACGTCACGGTTGTAGGTGGCGATGGTAAACGGAAGTCTACCACATTACACTGCTCTGGGAGCGTACAAGGCCGCCAAACGTTTTGGCCTCTGGTAGAATGCACGCAGTCCCAGGTGAGTTGAATTCGCCGTAAGGCGAACGATATGTCGTTAAAGCTTGCGAACAGCTGTTTCCAACGATCGCTGGGGCAAGTCTCAAATGGTGTTTAATGGGCCACTCCCAATCAATTCTAAGGGACTTCAATTTATCGTCAAACAAACGACATGTCGTTTAAACTTCGCGAACAGTTACTTCCAATCATAGCCAACGGTGGATCCTCAGCAATGATTGTCATGAATGTGCCAAGATAAATCATGAAATGCATAACTGATTGGTGTATAACCATTGGTCAGCTTGCAAGTGTAAGGTATTGCAGGCAGAACAATTTTTGGGTGCGGCGGGATATCGCTGCTAGGCAAAGGACAAAAAGTCTGGCAAATGGACTGCGATGGTCGCGAAATTTACACCATCTTGGTTTTCGATTGTCGACGACCAGGCCAATCGCTCATTAAAAAGCGAAGAATGACCATGCCCCTTGCTGCGTGAGCTGCAGAATACCGACATCCCGTGATAATCACCAGGGATTCACAGGGATCCGCCGCCAGGGATCCGCATGTTCGGCTGCAGAATACCGACATCCCGTGATAATCACCAGGGATTCACGGGGATCCACCACCAGGGATCCGCATGTACAGCTGCAAGCTTTGTTACTGCCGACTGTGGTAATTTCGCCCGTAACCCTCGTCCGTAGCCTACTGTAGACATGGCTGTGTGGCATGCAAAGCCAGCTGGGCTGTTTCCGTTTTCCGTGCCAGCGCCAACTGCACGCAAGTGCACCCAACGCCGGGCAGTCACGATGCAGAGCACGCACGTTGCGCACACGGAAGCGGTCGTACTTACGTGCCGTTTTGGTAGCGACGTGTAGACCAAGCTTCGTTTTAAGGAAGGGGCATATTCGCGCCACGTCAGTGGCTCCAATGGATCAAGCGGACGCTGATGTTTGATATAGTGATTGACGCTCACGTCTTGTTATTGTCATGTTACCACTAATCACAAGCGTGCCTTGGTTGGTTTTTGGTGCCAGCTGCGCCATAGCTACTTAGATACAATCTCTGGATATGTGCTACTGTGTCCGCGAATGCACGCTCGTCGCAGGTGTCAACGTTCTGTTACGTGTCGTTACGGCGTGCAAATCTGTGCTGCGGAGGGCGCACACACACGTGATCTGCGAGTGTCTCTGCAGCCAAGCACACCACCGCTCGCGCCTCCCGTGTCAGCCGGCCCGCGACATCGCCAACGGACGGGCCTTCACGCCCTCGCCAGCTCGGCCGCCGAGCGAGGCGCCACGTGAGTCGACGCGTGATCCGGCTCGCCTTCCGCCTCCGCTGGGGGCTCGGGCTCAGGCGACGGCGCTGCCTCGGCCGTGAACTGGGGCTCGGGAGTCGGGTGACCGGCGGCGGGGTGGGGCTCGGGAGAGTCGGGCGACGGCGCCACGGAGGACCGGCTCACCGGTCGCGGCATCAGGGCGTCCTCGTCACTGAAAGCGGGTCACGTGGCCGGTCACGCCGAGCACAGCAGCAGCGGACCCGGACCGGTGAGGGCGGGCTGAGGGTGCGCTGGCACGAGGGCGGGACTGAGGGGCTTGGTCGGGTGAGGGCGAGCTGGGGGCGCGCGAGCGCGTGAGGGCGGGACTGAGGGGCTTGGACCAGTGAGGGCGAGCTGAGGGTGCGCGAAAGCGCGGATGTGTGGCAAGGAAGAGGGATGTGGC